CCGTTAAAGTATAGGACGTTGTGACTGGCACTCTACAGCAGACGCTAAGAGCCTACTCTTCCTCGGTTAATTCGGTGGTATTCTACCCCGATAGGCATATACTAGCCTCGGCTTCCCGCGATCTTACTATTAAGCTTTGGGAGACGGATATACCTGCTCAGCAGACAGCGATAGTGGCGACTCAACAGAAGATAGTAGACTATTCCCTACCTGTCAGTTTATTGGTCCTATCTCCAGATAGACGACTACTAGCCTCGGCTTCCTGGGATAAGACAGTAAATATATGAGAGACTGCAACTGGCGGGCTGCAGGGAACACTTCAAGAGGATTTTGAGTAGGTATGTACAATAAGACTCTCTCGCAGGTTTAACACATCTCTGAGGGAAGAAAACCAAGAAAGCTCGGGACCCCAAGAACTCAAAATGCATTATAGCATGCTTTTTATAGTGGCCTTTTCTCCTAGTGGTCAGACATTGGCTTCAGCCTTAGAAAAGACAGTCAAACTGTGGGATACAACGACGGCAGCTTTGAAGAAAACACTAGACTGTCATTCCTGTGGAATTAATTCTGTGGCCTTCTCATTCAATGGAGTCTTTCTAGCCTCTGGTTCCACTGACCACACTATCCGCATCTCGAAAACAGAGACAGGTGAAATGTTACACAAAATCGAAGGGTATTCTGGCCAGATCTATTTTGTCACCTTCTCGCTTTACGGACCTAGCGAACAACTACTAGCCTCAGTCTCTGCTGATCAGACCGTCAAGCTATGGAATATTACCACAGGGGCCCTATGCCAGACCTTAGAAGGTCATTCCTTTAACATTTGTTCTGCAATATTTTCTCCCGATAGTCAAATCCTAGACTCTGTTTCTTACAAGACTATTAAGCTATGGGGAATGCCGACAGGTGTTTTGATGAGAACACTTCAGGGACATTCAGACTGGATTGATTTCACGGCCTTCTCCCCGATGGGCAATTGATAGCCTCGGCTTCCACCGACCAGACAATCAAGCTCTGGGATACCGAAACCGGTGCCATACTTCAATCATTGGATGTTTCAGCTACAGTTGATTCTTTGCAGTTCTCTAGTAACAGCTCGTATCTCGAGACAAATGTGGGGCAATTCAATATCTCACGCTTCTATCGTTGCAGAAGTTCTGTGGAGATGGCCAATACTCTTGAGGTGCGGATCTTGCAAGACAAATGGATCGCCCTTTCTAAGAAAGGCATTCTGTGGCTCCCTCCTGATTATCGTCCAACCTGCTCAGCAGTGAGAGATGGTGTAGTTATCGTTGGTCATTTGTCAGGGAGGGTATCATTCCTCGGTTTTCACTTGTAGCGGAAAATGAAGTCTTCTCTAAAAGGACTTTCTTCTGTTACTTTTGTCGTATAATATACGTTAGTTCAAAATATAATCCAACATCCCGAGGGACAGGCCAAGTTAACTATTTCATAGGGAAAATATTTACAGAAACTTTGAAAAGGGTATCAAGATAACAATAGCCAAAAAGTTGCTTCCTCCTGTAATTGTATACTAGCCTTTCACTCCAATACTTCCAAAGGCTGATGCTAACTCGTGAGACCACGGTTTGGAGTGGTCGTGCATGGTACTCTGACTAATTATCTTGGCTTAGAAAGAACGAACTCCGACGCTATTAAGGAAACTAAGGGAGATAATTATTTCATATTGGGGTAGTACTTTACTACCCGTACACGTATCTCGCGGTTTGAAGAGGGTATAGGAATAACAATGCAAACATGCCAAGATTCAATAGCTATTTCTAAAGCAAAAAGGGCGGATAGGCCAACGCCAGCTGCCAAATTAGTGATAATTATGGAGATCAGGCCTTGAGGTATGCCTCTCTCAAGTAATTACAGGACTTGATTGTGTAGTTCTAGTATTGACTAATAGTTCTAGACGACGAAACCAATGTGGTCGCCCTGGAGGCGGCCCTTCACGGTATTCAAAATGACGGTTTTGTTTTGCGAGCGTCGAAAGTCATGCCTATTGCTTTCAGTATTAAAAAAAGTTCAGATGAACCTCGTAGTGGAAAATGACAAGACATAAACCATCGACCTGCAAGAAGAGATTGAAGACTTCGATGATTATGTCCAATTTTCGGATATGATAGGTCGTTCTGCACCTCGGAACTTTAATTTTCTCGAATTTGGAAGAGAGAAGCTAATTGCTATCTTAGATTGTTATGAAAATTGTGATTTTGGGATAAGTTTGCAATTTCCCCACGAGCCGGAGGATCAAATAACTAAAGCGGGGAAGCGGGGTGGCGGCGATTCATCGGGCTCGCCAAGACCTCGTTTATGAATAACTCCTTGTTATTTCTTCACCTCCCACCGGCAATTATTTTGAGGCGTTTTTTTACAAGAATCGGAACGATATTATAGCCTAGCAAGGCCCAAAATGTGACCTTCCATGTGAATGTAGAGCGTGATCAGGAGTGCCCTGACGGAAATTTGTCGGCAAACAATCTCCTTAAAACGAATCACTTGATGTCTACCCCGGAACCAAGAAATGCCAAGGTCTTGGAAGGAAACTTGGATACTCTTCCGTTTTTCTTCAGGAATAGTGTACTCAATTGCCATACTGATCGGCTTCGATATTTAATGAGATGGCATCCTTTCATGATATGTTCCCGCAAGGATTCAGGTTATCAAATTGTTCAATACTACTGATTACTGCCTAGAGCCAGTATTGATATCTATTAGAGGTCATGAAGCTACAAGCTCTCATTTCTTTTGCTAGTCTCGTGACCTGGGTGGATGCCCATGGATATCTCACGATCCCATCTAGCCGGACCCGTCTTGGCTTCGAGGTACATAATCCACCACTTCCCGCCGAGAAAATATCTCAACTTTATGCGCTCCAATTAACACACCCTAGGCTGGGATCGACACCTGCCCTGAATGTTCCATTCTCGAGCCCGTAACCGCCTGGCCAGACCTGGAAGAAGCCCAAGTGGGACGAAGTGGACCATGCGGGTACAACGCCCGAGTCAGTGTCGACTACAACCAGCCCAGTGATTACTGGGGTAACGAAGTCGTCGCAACGTATACCGCAGGTGACACTGTCGAAGTCCAGTGGTGTGTCGATAACAATGGTGACCACGGCGGAATGTTCACTTACGGAATTTGTCAAAATCAAACTCTCGTTGATCTGTTCCTGACACCCGGATATCTTCCCACGACAGAAGAGAAACAAGCCGCAGAAGATTGCTTTTTGGACGGGGAGCTCAAATGTACGGACGTGACCGGTCAAACTTGCGGATATAACCCTGATTGTTCATCTGGCGAAGCATGTTATCGCAATGACTGGTTTACTTGTAATGCATTCTCGGCATCGAGTAATCGCGCGTGCCAAGGCGTTGATGGGGCTGCGCTTGGGTCTTGCAAGACGACGATTGCAGGCGGTTATACAGTTACCAAGAAGATCAAGATCCCAAACTATAGATCCGATCATACCTTGCTCCGCTTCCGATGGAATTCGTTCCAAACGGCGCAGGTGTATCTTCATTGTGCGGATATTGCGATCGGAGGATCCGGTTCGGGGTCTTCTTCGTCGTCTTCTTCATCGTCAACAAGCAGCACTACTAGCAAGACCGTTACAACCAGTGCCACCACTACGACCACGTGCACAGCAGCTACAAGTATCGCAGTGGTTTTCAATGAACTTGTGACAACAACTTATGGACAAAACATCTACCTTGCTGGGTCGATCAGTCAGCTGGGCTCCTGGGATACGTCATCGGCCATTGCCTTGTCAGCCAGCTCATATACAACATCCAATCCACTGTGGACAGCAACGATCAATCTTCCTGTTGGCACAAGTTTCGAGTACAAGTTTATCAAGAAGGGCACAGATGGCAGTTTCACTTGGGAGAGCGATCCCAACAGAAGCTATACTGTGCCCACTGGGTGTTCCGGGGCAACAGCAACTGTTACAGCCACCTGGCGATGAAGGTTTTCCTTCTGTTCTGCTTCTGTCTCTTTCTTGTCAGATTAGCAATTTGAGACGTTCAATTGGCACCTGCGCAGTATTGTAACTTCCAAGATTTACTCAGCCTATGCAGCAGATTTTAGGTGTTGCTAGGGTAGTACGGATGGAAGGGGATGGAAGAACCCTTCAAAGTTTAGATCCTAGATATATAAACAACCTGGAAGGTAGTATTAAATACTAACTACTAGTACTTGGCATCCTACCCGATATCCTACCCAGTCTCATACTAGTCTCATACTTCCTGCCCTGGAGTATTAGGATCAAAGAATTTATGAAGGGATGATAGCTTCACTGAGGGATGGTAGAACCTTATTAATTTTGCGGCGTTGCCATTCTCACAGGAAGACTTGGTCGATTCCCGCTATGGCGCGCCGGAGACAACGAATCAAATTCCATTGGGCGGGGGCCATACCTTGGGGCTCCCACGGAGCAGGTAGGCGGAGTGTACGAAATACCGTACGAAAAAAGTAGTCGATTAGTAATTTGTTTGTTAGTGCCCTTATAAATTGCGTGTTATGGGCAAAACATCAATTCAGACTTGTTCTAGATCTTCTGTTGGTTGGTACATTACGGCCCACTGAGCTCTCCGACAGTAACTTATTCAATCACCGAGCGACGCAACCGAAAATATATAGTAAATGCGATAAAATACAATACAAGTGATCAATAACCACAACTTATTGTTGCTCTATGCTTGATTCGCTAGTTTTTTCTAGTATTACAGATATCATTAATCGATACGAAGTTTATTGGATTATCATTTTAATGATGTTCTTAAAAATTACGCTACGTGAGAGAGCTCAGTGGGCCGTAATGTACCAACCAATAGTTAGGAGATCTAGAACAAGTCTGAATTGATGTTTTAGGAGAAAACATTAGGTAAGGAATTTCTTGCATCCTGGTCTAGAAGCGGATAGTTGTTGCATTCATCATATATCATAGCTATCAATATTACCTTTTACTAAAATTGGGATAGTATATTTGGTAATTATTGTTCCTCATGGATCTTCTCACTACCTCCAAACTTTTCCCGGTCATCTGAGATCATACTTACATCCGAAAATCCAGATCCATGGCGAGCTCGTTTGTTGTTCCCGGTTTCAGAAGAAAACGACTCTCTGAAATAAGACTGTCGACCGCTGACAACATTGTCAATGGATATGGAGGGTACCGTTGAAACAGTGGATGGGCTTCGATGAGGGCCTGGAGTGGAGCTAGAGCCCGACTGCGGTGAAACTGGGAAAGGAAAACGACTCGCACTCAGCTCTGGAGATGTGTCGGGCGTATTGGTCCAGTTGTATGAGGTAGGTAGTTCAGCGGGTGATGAATCTAGATTAACACCAAGTATCAGCAATTAAGAAGTCACAGAATGAAGTTGAAACTGGGCTGGGAATGATATACCATGCATCTCATACACCTCGTCTCCCCGGACTCTACCGTGCGAGGGGATATAGACGTGCTGAGTGAATCAGGAATTGTGGAAGGGTCGGTCTCTGTTGTCGCCTCCGCCGTGGATTTGGACATTGGTCCTGGCACCGGGGCAGTCGGTCCGCTCCCATACATAAATTGAGCTGACTGGGAGGTATCAGCGTCCCTTTCAGCCTTGGCTGCCGATGCAGTCTCGGCCTCTCTTTTTTGACGCTGACGCCGACGTCGGAGATAAAACCAGACCCCAGCAAGAATGAGAGCCACGCCGAACAGTCCGACCAGTACACCTATAACTGCTGAAGCCCAATGAGGCAATCCACCGCCGGAGGTACCACCTCCGTCTTCAGCGCTGCTTGAGGCATAAGGATAGTAGGTTGTCATAGACTTCGTGTATTTTTGGTCGAAGATACTAGACAAGGAGTCGTTCGTCCATGATGATGGAGCAGTTTTGGTTGCACCACCAGATGATCTAGAAAAAGATCTGTCAGTCAAGCTCGAGATCTTCCAGGCAAGTAATTACTTACGTCCCGCCGATTTGTGCTGTTACTAGATCTGGAACCTTATATTCGCCCCACTGGCTAGGATCATAACCGTTCTGGAAGATAAGATCGTTCAGGTCGAAATTGACAACAATGCCTCCTTCCACACAGCTAGTTGAGGAGCCATTTATTCCTCCAACAGCAAGCATCTGGTTTGGATATGGTTTGAAGCATTTATGCGAGCTGCGGCCATGACTGCTGGTGCCGTGATATGCTTTGATCCATTTGAAGGAAGGCAGTGAAAGGATGTAAACGTCGTCCGATGGAGTTTGTGAATAGTCAAGACCATCAACGCCACCATAAATGTATATGTTATGGGACGAATTATCCGGCGCACTGGCGAGCACAGAGCAAAACTGGGTTAACTGTCCTGGTATATCACCCGTTGTGTTCTGAAGATACCATTTCTGGCTATCCACGTCGTAGACCGAGACAGTCTCCATGAAAGTTGGACTAATTCTCTTGCTCTCCGCTGTCTGAGAATCGTTCAGCTTTGACGTTCGCCATAGCTCCACTGGATTAATCACCCCCCCCAACCGCCACTAGGACACCAGACTTAGACACCGGTACCCAGACTAATTCGGCATTCGCACGACCGGGGATATAATCCGGGAGTGTGGCGTTGGACCAAGTTTCATCTCGCATCGAGGACATATCCACCGTGATGAGCGTATCTGCAGTCTCTCTGGCTTCCTTTCCGTTCCATGTAAAGGAGCCCCAGCCTGGCGCATGCATTCCGCTGAAATAAAACGCCAATTCCTCGCTCGGTGCCGATGTGCCCGCGCCATTCGTGATATATGATGTAACATTATCCGTAAGATCCTCCTGCCGCCAGTTGGGTGACCAGGTTGATCGATAGGCCCCATACTGATAGGCTTCGTACTTCAGGACGGTATTATCAGCCGGGGTACTGGAGCTGTCGGAGTTATCTGCATTCTTGGTGGATCCTCTGGAGTGGAAAAAACAGTTCAAAAGCGTCAGCCACTACCGCATCTAGGGAGGCTAAGGGATGGAGGAATGCATCACGAACCCATAGAGAAAGAATTCATCGTCATTAGCAAGCATGGCACCGTCCAAGTAATTCGGAGCAAAGTTACTGGAGCTTCCTCCGATCACGGACGTATTTCGGAGGACCGTCATGAAATCCGAGCGTGTGGTGAACGAGGTTGATAAGTTCAGGGTATAGGAACGCGCATCCGCAGAAGCTGGTTTTGGTTAGATCTTAACTTGATTGAATGTTGACTCGACATTTTCCTCATTACCATCAGTATAGTTTTTACAGCCGTCATCAAACATTCTGAGATGAATAGTCAGCTCGGCTACTACATCCATCGTCGGTAATCCAAGATCTATCGTCGATCTTCGTTTATTACATACTGTTGAAGCCATATCTGCCCGCCATCCATATAGATCGTATCGCGAACGATATTTGCTATCCCAGTCAGCCGTGTGAATGATATCGGAGACACTGCAAACCTACCCCGTACTCCTTGCCAAGTACATATTGTCTCGTTCACTTGGGTCATCGACGACGAACATTGTTGTCCCACTACAGAGCCGACCCCAGCGACCAGCGTCCAGGCTGCTGCTAAACGAAACCTCATAATTTATTCGATCGATTCGATGGTATGCATTCTGGAAATGGGCTCTCTTGAGTGTTCGCAAACAAACAACTTCTTGGAAGCGGAATCATCGCGCTCGGATGACTATTAGGTGAGCACAGAGCAGCCTCGCAGTGAGGGGAGGGGTTCAATGGGCGGGGCGGAGCTACTCGAATTGACAATTAACATGCTGTCTTTGTTGAACCAGCAAATGGTCAAAAAACATGCCACAAGGCTAGAAGGTCCGAGCGTACAGTTTTAGCCCTATGCGCTCTGTGCTTCCACATCTGGACCACAGCCCGGCCCTGCCTCGCACTACGGAGTACGTAGTATTGCATTGGTGACCTTGTCCATACTGCCCCATCTCCACTTTAGCGTGGCCGCGTGGCGGTCAGAGCCACCAACGACAAGCCATCCTCGCACTAGTTTCTTTGATTCTTTCCTAAAGGAGATAGTGCCGCAGGGCAAACTGCCGATCGCTTTGAGGGGTTGGGCAGTTCGTCCCGCGTGCGGCTGAATGCACTTTGGTCGGCCCACTGGCAACGCCGGAATATCGGGCAGATAGTTCGAAGTTGCTGCAACATGGGGTGCAAGGCTCCAGGATAACTGCTCGATTCGACAGATTTCTCGTGTTCATGGTGGAATACATGCATCCCAGCCGGCTGGAGGCCCAAGTTGCCATGGAACCAGGCTGTGGTGCTGACGGGGTAAGACTTAGAGCCTCGCAGCCTGAGCTGCATTCAGTGCATCATAAGCTCTGGCCAGATCAAAGCTATCGACTCTTTTCTCTAACTTTGTCCTATGTTTACTTTCACCCACTGCCTTTCACCAAGCTGCGCATTGGTTTATCCAGTGAGGTAGACAATGAAAGTCCCCGTCGCTTGGTTGTCCTTGTTCGCGACCTCTGTTGTGAGCCTGTCAGCAACACAGAGCATCAATGAGCTCGGGGTCCTCACGCTCGTTCCAACGGCCGCGCCAGTGCCTCGAAACCTCGATGTTGATCTCGGGGTCGGGATTGACCTTTGCGCCATAGTGACGGCCTGGGTCACAGTGAGAATCTCGATTGGACTCGGGGACGAGCCGGTCACTGAGACCATCACTGATGAGACGACGGACACTATTACTATATCCGCATCGACAGTCACGGATACCATTACGCAAGTCATCACTGATGCCGGCCCAGGCGCGACATCAACAGTGACAGTTACTGATAGTGCAGCCCCGGGCGCGACATCAACAGTGACAGTTACTGATGCCGGCCCAGGCGCGACGTCAACAGTGACAGTTACTGGTAGTGCTGCCCCAGGCGCGACGTCAACAGTGACAGTTACTGATAGTGCAGCCCCGGGCGCGACATCGACAGTGACAGTTACTGATAGTGCAGCCCCGGGCGCGACATCAACAGTGACAGTTACTGATGCCGGCCCAGGCGCGACGTCAACAGTGACAGTTACTGATAGTGCAGCCCCGGGCGCGACATCAACAGTGACAGTTACTGATAGTGCAGCCCCGGGCGCGACATCAACAGTGACAGTTACTGATGCCGGCCCAGGCGCGACGTCAACAGTGACAGTTACTGATAGTGCAGCCCCGGGCGCGACATCAACAGTGACAGTTACTGATAGTGCAGCCCCGGGCGCGACATCGACAGTGACAGTTACCGGTAGTGCTGCCCCAGGCGCGACATTAACAGTGACAGTTACTGATAGTGCTGCCCCAGGCGCGACATCAACAGTTACGACGACCATCAGTGGTACAACTGTGACCGAGCCTGGGTCCACAGTGACAACCACAGTTGGGCGATCGACGATCACAGATACTTCGACCTTGACGACGACTGTCGGTGAATCGACGAAGACCGACTTTTTAACCATCACAATCTCCATCGGTGGATCAGATGTCACGCATACATCTACTATCACGGAAACGTCTACTATCGCGCATACATCTATTTCCACGCAAACTGTTGGCGACAGCACCGTGACCAGAACATCAACTGTCACAGAAACATCGACATTTACTAATACCGTCAGTGGATCCACGGTGACTTTATCAGCCTCCACTGTTATTAGTACAGTTCCAGCATCGACCATCACAAGCGTCATCACCGAACCTGCAAGTACGATCACTTCTGCTGGAAGTACAACTACAGTCGCAGGTTCAACAACCACTGTGACCATCACAAGCCCGACCAGTACTGTTACTGTTGTGGACACCGTTTCTGCGCCTGGGGAGACAAAGACACAGAGCAGCACTCTTACTGCCACTGTCACTGTGTCAACCTGTGCCAGCTTAATCGCAAATCCCACATATACGTCTCCCTCTCAGCTTCCATCGGATTATACGTGGGGTTGCCCCCCCTGGATTTCTCTGTCGGCCTCCCCGCACAGGCGACCGCTCTGGCTGTAATGTTGAAGCCGGCCTTCCAGCCAATGGCTATATCTGCGCCCCCGAGGATTGCATCCCAGCTCCTGCTTTGACCTACAACCAATCCAGCGAGACTGATAAGTTTGGCAAGCATTTCAATGTCTCCGAGGATTATTTCAACCTTGATCCGGAAATATTTGGTCTCAACTATTCCATCTTCCAGCTTGAAGACGGTGGGGTTGCAGCGTACAACAAGCGCAGCACTTTCTCACCACAGGTCAAAGCTAGATCACTCTGGGATCGATTTGTAGATCGAAGGGCCGAAAAAAGGGATATCGGCTCAGACGTTCCAGGAGTGTGCTATAATGATTGTAATGATGCAGCACAAGTTCCCCAAAGCGTCGGGAAAAAGCCATCTATTTGCACAAGTGGTTCGCCATTCCGGGTGAACCTGGGCAACTGCGAGGAGTGCGTCAGCAACTACGCAACTGGAAACTTGGATAAATATTCATCGACCCTTCTGCCTTCATTTGAACAGTGGTTGACTTACTGTGATGGCCAAACCACGGCTTCAGAAAGTACGACCTCCGATACGAGCGCCACGACTACTAAGAGACCCAGCACCAGCACAAGCACCAGCACGAAGGCCTCTGTGGATACGACAGCTACCACCACTCAGAGTGGTGGAACAGGCACTGCTACTAGGACTGAACCTCCAACTGCAACCGATTCAACGGGTGCACAGACTAGTACACAGACTGGAACGGGTACTTCAACTGCTAGGCCACATGGCACGACACTACTATATGGCTCGACACGAATTGTTTCTGGTTCAACTGTAATTGAATCAGGCTCAGCCGTTATAGAGTCCGGATCAACAATCGCCGAAACTAGCTCAGAGGTGACAGTGTCGCGAACCACGAATGGGACAACCCCCAAACACACAGCTTCAACGCCTGAGAGCTCCAGTATCACCTCAAGTGTAAGTTCTGAGAACCATACGGTGACAGCAACCGTAACTGCCACCGTCGCCGGTGCGGCGCCACCAAAGAATCTTCCTCCTCGATTATTCCTCCTAACACTCCTCTTCGCCATTACGGTGCCATTCCTTTAAGATGATTAATGTTTAAACGATCTGCCTGGTTTATCAATACGGTAATACCTTTTGCGACAAAATTTACGGTCTTTACGGTCTTTACGGTCTCCACGGTTTTGATGGTTATTATGGTTTATTCTGCATCTCATTACCATACGAGTTTCCCATGGTTTCAATATATTGCAAATTCATCCCTGGCACTTAGTAGACAAAACCATTGTCTCGTCACTTTTATTATCAAAGGTTTCGAGCGTGGATAATTATTTTTGCACTTTCACAATCACATCTGTCACACAACATTTAAAGACCGCATACTATCTCGCTTACCTCGAGATTTACACATTGATCGCCCAGCCTGCCTTTTGTGCTTTGACCAGCCCATCCCTCTGTGACTCGTACTTGATTGGTGAACCACCAAAGTGATCCACTCCCCAGCGGCAGACGTGGTCTCTGCGACCTTTCCAAGCATACTTAATAGCCCGAGTTGCCAATGAGTTTTTCTTTCACTCTGCGATTCCTTAGCCCCAAAATCCCCCCCTGGCGCGGAACTAGTACAATCTGTGAACGCAGTATAAATTTGTTCTGTTGATGTAAGATTTTGTTCCCTGAAGCCCCACAGACTCGATAGGCGAACGTGATCCGGTAGCTCCGCCACAATGACTAGCTCACTGCGAGAGAATAAGGCGTCCAAGATTAAACTCCCGATAATGCGGCTCGTATAGCCAAGAATGCGGCATTTTGCTGGTTGGTCCATTTCCAGTTCTTCATGGGATCGCTGTCTAAGGTTGTCGAAGGGGACAGTTCGCCATCAGCTCACCACCGCCTTATACCGCCTTCAAAAAGCAATTTTCTATAATCAATAGAATACAGCTTTGTTTGGGAGGCGGGTTACCTGACACCCTTATTGGATATCTGGACAGCGTCCTAGCCTATTTAGTGATAGCGTCGAATAGAGAATATGTAGTTTTAAGGTATTGCGGGTATATTAATGTTCTGATTGGCTGTCCTTTAGTTATCGACCGCCGTGAGTGCCTTAGGAATCTGGGTTCAGTCAGTTCATTTGTAATAGACGAATTGCCTCGGGTATTACAAACACTTAAATGGAAAATTCCTGTTCTGAACAGATATTTCAATCTGTTTGAGCAGTGCAAATGGCCCAGGCTGTCTACTAGTTAGTATATAAGCTATCTCTCAATTTCTTTCATGTTCCTTCTTTCGTTTCTCCTACAAGGCTTCTTGGTACTCTTTTCTTTACATCATGCGACTTTACAGCCGTGACAACTTTTGAGTATATGAAAAGTCGAACCAAAGTCAAATAGGTACCGTTATATTATTGATAATTATTGACTTTTGCTTAATTATATTTTTCCGATTTGAATCCAACTTGGAACTTCCAAGATTCCTAGTCGAATTCGAACAGCATGTGCTGCTTGAAGTATCCCAACACCTCCTCTCAATCCTCCAGAACTGCCTTGTCGACGCGTTCCTGCATCGAAGAGGTGCGTCGATGACCGCGAGAAACAGCATCATCATCGGCGACGGGCTCTCGGTAGAAATCGTATCTCTTGTCCTCCCCTCCCCAGTGGCAATTGCCACAAGCAGATGGCTGACCTCCGAACAGTGGGAAGGTCAGAAATTTTGCCCAGGGCCCATTGCCCTTTCTGCAAGATGAGCATGGGGCCAACGGGGGACGCCCGACAATCTGCATCAATGCAGATTCCACATTGGCCGACTTTCGGTTTCACTGGTGGTCCAGTTTAGCGCCTGTCCACTGGTTCTTGATGTGAAGCTTGGGGCCCTGGACTTGGGGGATGTGGTGCAAGAGCTCGATAAGTGGTGTCTTGTAGTTTTCGTTCTCCAATGCGGTCTTGTATTGGAGCTTAAGGATATGAAACGCAACGGGCCCGGGGGCATCATCAGCGCTACCGAACACGCTGGCTGGGATCATCATTTCCGCGCCGTATGTTTGATGCGCGGGCTAGGCAGGGTTACCGTTGACAGTGTAAGTATGCATCCTTGACTTCAGAGGAAATATCACTTACAAAGCATCAGTATGGATATTGGGAGGTACGTATTGCTGAGCAGGCTGGCACGCCTGCTCATCTCCAGCTCCAGCGGCGAAGCCATAACCCACTCCAGGACCAGCCTCATGACCACCGCCATGACCAGCTGCTGCTTCTGCACCAGCTCCTGCTCCTGCTCCGGCTCCAGGACCGACTCCAACTGCTGCTTTATTGTCGTCTCGATCCCCGAGGGGAAAGGTACGTGGCGGCGTATCCTCCATTTCGGGAAAGAGTTGGGAAAAGTAAAGGCATGAGTCGGCAACAAATGATTTAGAGCGGCCCACGATGGGCACACTCTTGGCCTTTGGTAATGTTGGAATGTAGTAGGATAGAGGATGAAAAAGTGATAGCTGGGGGGTGGTGGAAGAGAAAAGAAAAGGAATGGAAGAGGGAATAGGAAAAGGGAAAGTAAGTAGAAGGGCAGACTCACTCTCAAGTATGTGGTGACTGTGCTGTAGGCAGCATTTGTTATTCATCATTGGGCTATTGTGTATGATGCGTCTTTGGCAGGCACGCACATATCTAGTATACGGTGAATGTCGTCCTTGCCTAAATTGTTATTTGTGTCAACTACAATGGAAGCTACCTCCGTGAAGTTATGCCTTGGATATAGTATGCTGTTAATTTGTTATTCATAGTAGTCTCAATCTGCGGTAGCCTTTGTTATTCTTGCTGTTTAGACCAAATTGGACAAGTATGGGCATGGCAAGGAAATACACAACTTGTTCCTGATCATGACTATTTGTGTGAGCTATGATCTGCCCGTAAGGAGTTCGGAGAAAGGATGACATAATCATACTCATTCAGCCCTAATTCAGGCACACCTTCCTTTGCCCCAAACTACGAGTACTTTTTTCAATTTACAAATCATCACAATTTGCTGTAGTGTCGTGAGAAGAGATCAGCCAAACATATTTGAATTGAGGAGGCGCCTATCGAACTTTCGAAAAACTAGATTAAATCAACACTTCGAAACAGCAGGATGCATGGAGCAAAGATTCTATATTCACTATCGTAGCTGCCCTCCCGCTCAAGAAGGTCAACGTTGCTCCTGCCATGTGGAAACACTTTCCCGTTATATCACGCAGTACTAGTTAGCAGTACACCCTGGGCAGTGAAACCTACCAATCTCTTCCAACCCCTCATCTCAGCGAACGACTATCCACGTCTGTTCCTTGGCTTACCTCCTCGACCTCGCCTTGTTGACAGCATGGAAATCGATGATCACAACATCCTTTGTGAATTCAACGATTCTGTCTGAAAGGAAATAATCAGACGGCTGATTGAGCAGGATCGCAGCCGAGAGAATCTACCTCGAGCGTCGTTCTTCCCGTTGTGGTTTTCCGACATGTCTAGACTCGAGTCCATCTCCAACGCCAGGAGCCCTGATTCTGGTAGCGTTATTTTTCGATCGGTCCTGCTCTCGTCATTCCAAGTCCTGGACCACCCAGGCATTTTCGCCGGGGTCAAGTTCCCGCCCAAACATCCTAAAGTTAACAACCGAAAGAGAGCCCGAGACTCCTGCGAGTCTCGCCCAGCTGACGATGAACATCCGAGTGAGGAACGTCGGAGCGAGTTAGCGAACGAGGGTGCTCTAAACCGTGACAATGGAAGATGTGTGCTTACGAAGCATGGCCGCCCAACACTTCATGTCGCCCATATTGTCCCGTTCAAGCTGCATTCGAAGCCCAGGGAATCGAGTTGGAACTGGTTGAAATACTTTTGGGGCGAGACCAAGGTTGACGAGTGGCGGTCTGAAATTCTAGGGGAAAACAATGTCATAGACACCGAGAGGATCCACAACTTGCTGTGTCTTGCCCCATCCGTCGATCAGGCGATCTGTGGATTCCGCCCAATTTCCGTGAACGAAGGGAAAACATGCATGGAAGTTGCATTGCACTGGCTCCCGTTGCGCCACAAAGCAATCCTGCAACGTGATATGCTGGCAATTGAGGAACACCCGTACCCTGAACATACCATGGGCTTCACTGACAGCCCGGGAGAGAATCTCTTTCTTTTTGACTTGAATACGAAGCAGGTTCTCCCTTCGGGGCACATCTTCCAGATCCAAACTGATGATCCGGAAAAGAGACCGTTGCCGTCATTCAGCCTCTTAGAGATGCAATGGCACCTCACTCGAATCGTTGCTATGCAAGGAGCCAGCGAGAGTGATGATAGCGACACACAGTCTGACAATGATATTCTCACGGTTTCGTCTCGGTCCGGCTCCCGGTCCCGCTCCCCGGGCAAGGACGGCAGCAAGATGCAAGAGAATCTACGCCCTCCCCGCTCCCGTACTCAGTCGGTATCTCCATCCCCTTCTCTGAAGCCCAAGGCACTGCCGATTATCATTGAAAATGATGATTTTCTTCCTCAAGCTTCCTAGTCCTCCTCCTTGCTCCTGTCGCTTGATTGCCTGAATTCCTTATTTTTAGCCTCTCACCAGCGTTAGCTGATAATGTATCTTCTTTAAACTGTGAATTAGATCCTACCTCCCAGTGTAGCACGCAAGGTTTTCAATCATCCCGGAAATATCCTATTAAAAACATTAGAATTGCTCGTATCTAAAAATTCGCTCACGTCATTCAAAATTGAGATTAAAGGCCGTTCAGTTTGATTTTTAACTACGAATAGAAACGCACAGGTCGGAATGAACAGAGACGAGACAGTAATTCAATCACCTAGCCCCGAAGGGCACCAATATAGATATCAAAGTCACGAAGAAGGTTCGTTGACGAACATAAAACGAAGCAAATAAGGAAGGAGGACAGTAATTGGGGGATGGAACAGGTCTTATTGAAGAAAGAAGCAGATTCTAAAGCTAAGGTAGAGTGTCATCCTGATGGCAACAGCCAAATAACTCCATAAACGAATAAATGAATAAAAAACATGAATCATGCCAGTCTTTTCTCATCCCGATCAGAAATTCCTAATACGAAAATACTCCACCTCATCCACGAGGGTTGGAAGACCCGTCGTTCGCACTAAGCAAGGAGGCCGCAGATGCTAAACCATGGGGCCTTTGTCACACTGGCAGGTATAGGCTAAACCCGGTCCCACTTGCAACGTCCACCGAAACCGTTCGCATGACGCATGGCGCAGTGGAGGACGTCCGGAAAACCCTCGATGACGCCACAATCGACGAATTGCTCGTGGCCTCGAAGGCAATGATGGGACGGGGTCGGCGCAATCGTTCTTGAAATCTGCATTCGAGCAGATTCGATAGAGGGAAAAGATACGCCGATGCGTTGGTGAAGGGGAACGCCATATTGGACGAGGACACGGGCATACGGGGACGGAAGGCTGGCTCCCGAATAAGCGGCAAAGCGTCCAAAAACGTGAGGAATTCACTTCGGAGGTATGTCCCTTCGCGGGCGTTTTCCCAGTCGAGCTGAGCGATGCGGTGTGCCCATCCGTCTGGGTGGACTTGAGGATGATCGCAGGGGTTCATGGTGGCCTCGCTCTTGGAACGTGCTATGGTTTCCGATACCATCCACGCCAGTTCTGTGTGCAATACGTGTCAGCATCAAGAGCGAACAAGTACTAAATCAAGTCCACAGGAGAGGTCACTGGGCCATATTTGTTAGGATTTGGGGGCTTGTCTTTGTGGGAATTGATAATCACCACCCGCAGGGGTGGTGTCAGGCCTGTGATCGTCCGAAGCCATCAAGGCTGTAACCCGTGTATGTGTGGGTGGAGAGAAATTGACTGAAATAAATGGCGATTTCGAGGAAGGTCCAGCTTCGTCCAAGAGGGTGTCTGATCAAGAAATGTCGTATTTACTGGGCTGTGGCATAGGCAAAAGGGGCCACCTAATACCTGTCCCATCCCATCAGTATTGTGGAAATATATTAGTAAATATGGTGAATACAGTAAATACGGTGAATGTCATCCTTGTCCTAAATTGTTGTTTGTCTCCATGGAAGGCACCCGCGTATCTGCCTGAAAACAGGCATTGGGAGTATCGCACCTTCCCTTTGTGGTATACATGGGGGAAATGGGTGCGGTTCCTCTCCCGCCTTTTCCTATTCGAAAGGGTGCTTTTGTTGGCACTTGGTGATATCCGCTTGAGAGTTTAGTAGATATCATTCTAGATAGTATACTTTAGCCCCTAATGGCTATTCATTATTCCTACTTGAAACAAAGCCTTCAAACACACCTTTTTCGTAGAAAATCAGATTCACGCGAAATATGGAATCAAAATCACTAACTAATACTCTCTACGGCCTGTCATCAGGTCCATTGTCGATCCACGCACGCGCTTTGTCCTTTTCCAGAATTTCCACCCAAAAATATTAAGGATAAACAAAAGTATCCCGAGGTAGCTCAAAATAAAAATGTCTATCTTGAAGTGAGGGATGAATGCATTATACCCTTGGTCTTCGTTAGCAGAAAGATTCCTTGTCTGGAATTAGAGCACTAACCGTTGAAAAAAAGGACAGTTACCGTAACAGTCAGCGCATAGTAGCTTGCATATGGCTGCAAAAATCCGACATATGGAAGCTCGGACACTGCGATATTTTGTCGAGCAAGTCCTCGGCGAAAGCCTATATGGGATACCAAGATCGCCAGCCAGTTCAAGGCAGCAAAAACTGTGACTAAAGATACAAGGTCATCGAAGACTGAAGAGGATGACTTGCTTGCATTCATGAAGCCAAGTGCAATGAAGGCAGCTGAAATGGAGGTTGCAAATATCGGGATTCCCTTTCCAACTGTTTTTGAAAGAATCGCGGGGGCTTGTCGGTCGCGAGCAAGTCCGTAAAGTGATCGGGATGCGCAGTAAATGTCTTACCCTCCATCAGTATTATTATATGGGCTTTGACGAGCCAATGTGGACACACCTGAACTTGCTGCGCTCAATGTGAAAACCAAAAGAGACGCGTTGGTAAAATCGGGCAAAACCTTGATACCTGCATTTCGGATAGCAACGACGAAGGGACTTGCGTCTGCTGAGATATTAGAAAAAGGACAAGTTTTTTTTTGGATCGAGAAAGCCTCCTTACCAGCATTGGTTGAACTGTTGGTTGCACTGAGGAGATCACTGCTGTCGTAAGGAAGCGCCATTCCAAGCACGAGAATCCCAAGAATGTAGAAGGAAAATATTCTCCAAAAGGTCTGCTTGACAGCTCGAGGGACGTTTTTGCGAGGATCCGGCATCTCTCCAAATGTCATACCGACGACTTCAGTCCCTGTGAATGCAAAGCACGCTTGACGCATACACGCCCACCACCCCAAAAGTCGACCTTTGGGGCCGGTCAGAAGATATTCAGCGAATGCACCTGGACTGTTCCAATATCCAAATCCGGATGCATGGTGATTTGGCCCTCCACCAACAGCAACAATAAAGCAGGTCAAGATAAGGATAATCATGATACAGACCTTGATGCCACCAGCCCAGAACTCAACCTCTCCGAAAACCCGGACGTTGAAGAGCTAAATTTCCGACGTTAATGAAATACATTTCTCATCTCAAAAGCCGCTGTGCTCACTTACATTGACGGTGACTACAATAACACCAAACACTGCAATCCAGATCGCCACGTTCAAGTCGGGTCTCCAGTACTCAATGACAAGCCCAGCAGCGGTGAGATTCGTGGGGGCTGCGATGATGTATTTGAAAAAATAGTTCCAGCCGGTCGCAAAACTGTATTTGGAATTAGCTCTCTTGTATCGACGAGCGGAAATAACTTGAAATTTCAAGTTCCAGTTCAACTTACCCTAGAGCTGGATCAACCATTCGAGTGGCATATCCACCAAATCCCTTGTTCATCGGAAGAAAAGCCGCCATTTCGCCAAGGGCCGTCATCACTGAAAAGACCACAGAGCCAATGGTAACATATCCGAGCAGAGCACTTCCAGGGCCGCCCCTGGCTAATGCTTGTCCGGACCCGATGACAAGGCCTGTTCCGATGGAGCATGCGATGGAGAACATAAAAACGTGACTAGGTCGCAAATCGCGGCGAAGCTCGTTGACCTCCTGAGCATCGCCCATCTCATAAGTTTCGGCATTCTCAGAGCCCGGTTCCAGTTGCAGTTCGATCTTGTCCTCGGTCATGTCGCTTCAAGTGAATAGAGAATGTGAAACTGACAGAAGACACTGTCGTGGGGGCATGGACCGACATTTTTAATTGTGGTTATCTCCCTTAATCTACAGTACCCGCTAGCAGGCCTTGAAGCTTCGGCGTGAAGGCCCCGAAACCTTCTGCCAACCCCAGAGCTTACCCCGCATTCTGGCTGATAGGGCCGGAGAAGATAGGGGCGAGATAGCCGCAAGATAGCTTCGGGGAGTACCCTCCGATGGCAGCTTGAGATAACCGAAACGTCACCGAGAGGTCTTGGCAGGCCTAGAGTTTTGAAAGTCTCCCTCATTCTGGCGCATTGATTTTCGCGCATAGTTAACACTTTGTCCCATGCTCAATATTTGACCAGTTCAAAAAGGAAATGCCAACATGGGAAAAGTTCCCGGTATATACTAGTCAAATCAACAGAGCGAGGATACTCCAAGGTTCATGATTATTTGTAAACTTGAAAGTATAAGTCCTCCAGGCCCTTTCATTGATCTATGGTAATTTGTGCCATTAATAGAGAACTAGTCTTGGATATCTTAATACCAATTAGGATATATTCCAAAGCAATAAAATTTTGATATTTTACTCAGGATTACGATGAGTCTACTTGCCCTGGATATTTCGGGTTTCCACCACGTTAAGCTTGAGATTATATTGCTCTATTCATTTCATGGGTTGTCATGAACAACTTCGCTGATAGACCGCGCTACATACTCTATGTTGCTATTGCAAAGACCGGACAACGTAATCCGTCCATTGGGCACGATATAGATGTGGTGCCTTTCCTGCAAAACTTTGCATTGTCCAGGGGACAACGGCAAAAGGCTAGTTTTATATTATTATGGCATTCTGGAATCGACAGAGTGATACTTCACTCACCAAAATAGACCGTTCCCTTGCATAATAATCCCCCAATTACCCGGAACCTGCAATCAATTGTCAGAGATTCCCTTCCTAATTAAATATCGATGCGTCCCTTACCTTAAGGACATCGTTCAAAAGATGGAAAAATGATTTTCGAATAGAAACAAGACGGTTCCTAATAGTGTGTAGTTCGGAATTCCTGATTGCTTCAATTTAGATGTCTTCGAGTCAAAGAATATGAAGATATTCAGAGATAGATAGGAGACCACATACCACTCTGCTTGTTTTGAAGAATCGGAAAGCACTAGATCGACTAAACGCGAGCCGTATGCTGGCGAGGAAGAGAATTCCCATCGTATCAAACAGCGGAGCTGATCATGAACCGGCTGCACATGTGTTTCCGAAGCGCAAATAACATGACACGCGCCAGCACGCTCACCATAAAGGCCGAAGTTTTTGGAAAAGGACTGACAAACAATCATTTCAAAACCCATTTGCGCAAAATGACGAACTCCATAGGAATCTTCTTCGATTCCGTGTCCCAGACCTTGGTATGCAATGTCAAGGAGTGGTAGCAAATGTCGGTTCTTCATTTCCGCGGCAAGAGCTTGCCACTGCTCCTTGCTAAAGTCCGCTGCGGTCGGATTGTGGCAGCAGCCTTGCAGGATGAAAATGCTCCCCTCGTCGGCTGTGCGCACGGCGTCGATAACGGATTCAAAGTCCACGCCCCCTGTCAATGGATTATAATGGGTATATGTCTTGGTGTCAAGTCCGGCCAATCTGCACATCGGTACGTAGTTTCCCCATGTTGGAGTTCCAATATATACCTGCCGACTATTCTCCTTAGAGGAACGAGCCAAGAGCATAAGTGCAACATGAACTGCCCCAGTGCCGGAAATGGTTTGAACTGATGCAATCTTTTCCATCTAGTAAGTATGGGCTTTGGGCTTACAGATCACGGATTTCATACCTTTTCTCTATCAAAGACACTAGAGTCGCCGCCGAATGCGACCTTGGCAGCGTTGGCCAAATACCGAGAGTTTCCAGTAGTGACTTCGTACTGCATTTCTGTGGTGTCAGAAAATGTAATTTCCATTCCTTGCGCCATGCTGGTGTTCTCACATCATGGCCTGGGTTAAGTGCGTGTAGCTCGTCCTTTGCCTGAAACATTGAACAGTTAGAACGATATCTTGTTTCTTTTCCGTTTCAAAATAATATTATTCCCCCAGGTTTACCTTTCTAAGAACACTCATTTCATTGTAGTTTCCAAGCTCATTTCGATAGACACCAACCCCCAGGTCTACTTTCAATGGGCTCTTGTCTTCATCGGCTGCAATTTTGAGCCCATACATGACGTCCACTGGGCCGGGTTCCACGGTGTCGAAAAACATTTTTGGTGAAGTCGATTTCAACAAGTGAAAACGGAATTCAAGATTCTCCCATCCAAAGGAACCGCTGCTAATTTATGTCCTGGGCCTCTGCAATTGGATTGGTGAGCGGCTGATTACTTCGCAAATGAACCCACTCGCCTACTTCAAAGGTACCCGAATTCGGCGAGGGCCTCCGTAACGCTAAACTTTCCAAGGGCAGGGCGTTTCTTATGTGGATACATCAGAGCTCCTACCTAGACGAATATTCAATGCCAATTGGGAAGAATGTAAGGCATGATAACGAAATATCTCGCCCTTCTTTTACCGAAAGTACTACTAGTTGAATGACAATCGGTCTCAGTCGATCATGCCGAAGCTGGTCCCACTTCGGCGGATGGGCCCCGAGACCCCTCGGCATTGCGATTATCTCGGACACAAACAACCGAAATCGCCCCCACTCTGCCGCGACTAAAGTACATAACCCTATTTAACTATTTTGAAAGATAAGCCAGGCCTCAATTTGGAATTATTGCAGGTTTCCTCTCTTTTTTCTTTCTTCTCAACGATAGCCATGGATCACGCGAGCCCAAATACGCTTCATATTCAGACCGGCGGAAACCAAGTCTGTAAAGCATTCGGGATCAAAATCTCGGCAAATGGACAAGTGGTGACAACGGCCAAGAATGCCGGTTTTGATTCGCTGTTCATTGATATGGAGCACGGCTGGCTCTCTCTTGAACAAGTGAGTAACCTTTGCCACATTGGACTTTTGTCTGGAATAACGCCCTTTGTTCGGGTGCCTCATCAATGTGGCAATGGGTTTGTTCAGCGTGCTCTTGATGGTGGCGCGATGGGGATTATTTTCCCTCATATCCATTCGGAAGGTACGTGCCAAATGCCAGATCGGTGTTCTCAAAGCCGATTCCTTCTTTCTTTCTCGCTATTCCTGTCATAATGTGATATTTACTGATTCTCGATGAACTCAGATGATGCCAAGAATGCAGTGCGCATATGCAAATATCCACCCAAAGGTTGTCGGTCAATGACAGGCCAGCTTCCCCAGTTCGGTCTTCGGGGAATGCCCATAGACACCATTATTCAGGTCGCAAATCAATCCATGTCAACCGTATTTGTTATGATCGAAAGTGCAGATGCCGTCGAGAACGTCCTGGAAATTGCAGCCGTGGACGGAGTTGATGTTGTTTTGGTTGGGTCCACAGATCTGTCTATTGATCTCGGAGTGGGAGGCCAATTCGACCATCCAAAATACAGAAATGCAATCATAAACGTTAGTGAGGCCTGTCAGGCGAAAGGAAAGGTCATGGGCTTGGCTGGAGTATACGACTCTCCGGAAATTCATTCATGGGCAATAAATGATCTGGGTGTAAGGTTTATGCTGGTCCAGCAGGATACATCACTGTTATCCCAGGGCGCTGCCCGAGCTGTGAATGCAGTACCTACAGTGACTAGCCAGTGTGTGTAAATATCTCAGATGCAGATTCAATTGAGTAGTATGTTACTTGCGCGGGAAAGCTTTTCTTGCTGGCGCTTGATCGAACGTCTAGATTGTACGCTAAGCAAAACCCAAAAGACAAGCAGTGGCCCGATTAATAAGATGAATAGAACCCCTCATTCTCCAAAGCCCGGAAGGTAAGTCGCTAATTCAGCAAAGTCAATGGAATCCTGTCCAGTTAGTGCCCACTCTTGACTTCCCAAAATCGTATTGTACTGTTCATTGGTATCCTGAACGAGCCAATCTCCAATAGGGAACTCATGAAAGCCATCATTATGCGGCGGTCCTTGGTGGTGTGAAGCTTTGAAACCACCACCGGTCGAGTGGTGGCCTGAATTGCGACGGCTTGCGAGATATGCCTGGTTATAACCCACAGCCGACTCTTGATCGGGTCTCATGTCCGAGGACTGCAGTTGCGGTCCATTCGATCTTTCAAGAGTTCTCTGTGATGGCACAGAGCTAGATTCCTGGGGGTTCGACTCGTGGGTGTTCGGGAAGTCACCGGCCCAACTGGATCCTGCCAATGGCCCATTGTTTAGATTGTTGTCGACATGTAATTGTGCCCAAATGTGCTCAACCTCTCGCAGCTTTTCACCCGCAAATGGATTTCCACGATCTGAAAGATGGCGCAAGACCTGAATGGCTTCATCAAGCCCCGGAGATGGAATAATAGCCTGGTCGTCCTTGCATATAATGTTGAATATTGCTGTTAGAATCATGATGAAGGCGCTCGAAAAGGTCGCATCTAGGTCGAAGAATCCGAATATGGCTGGGAAGGAAGTTTAGCAATCTTGATCCTCTTATCTCCGGGCCGATATCGAGTTAATCTACCAATGATATTTTCCTTCTTCAGCATTAGGACCATCGAAAGCATCCTGCGTGCTGCTTCTGCACATGTTCGAGATAGGCGACCCAGGGAAGAGCTGTAAATAGTGGAGCGACTTGTTTCATCTCCTGTCAGGATTATGCGTGCGACGTAGAGCATTATTGGCCGGATGGTGAGTAGGATAGCCTGTTTACAGCGACAAGTCAATTGATTGAACGGGGAGCATTGACGTCAACCATTTAGAAGTGTCATACCTGATAAAGCATCATATGAATAGAAGCAAAGACTCTGATGTTTTGCTTAGGGGTCTGATTGTGATTTCCATCTGAAAAGTCCAATGGGAGCTCCGCGGAGATCTCATGCAGTTCTTGAATAATAGACTGAACACTATGTATCAAATTTCCATCCTTTTCGGGTTTCTGTACATACAGTGCTATTTCAGTCAGAGGAGAGCGAAGAAAGGAGAGTGATAGGCATATTTACTCTGGAGAACGCGCCCTGTAATATGTGCAATTCTAATATTGAGACAGATTGGAAACGGCGACGGAAAGCCAAGTGCATTTGCAGGCATCTCCAGCTCGATTGTATCGCGGTCGACGCTGGATGGATTGCCAGTTGCTGCGGCCAAACGCCTAGTGGAAAATATCTCAGTTTATTGGCTTTGGTGGGGAAAATGTGAACCTACTTTTCTTGCATGTATATTGTCCACAAGAGGCGGTTGAGGTGGGTTTTCTCCGATTTTAAATATTGATTCAACCGACTATGAGCGTGGAATCCGTGAGCAATGGCGATCCGCAGCGCTGAATTGACCTGTAAACGGGATGTTAGAACTTAGTAATTATGCACCTAGGAAGAGGAAGGGAACTGACATATAAGTAGGCTTCTTCACTTCTGTTGACATTCTGGAGATACAGTGCTACCAGACCGAGGACCTCTACGCCGTGTCTTTTTGACACATGGAGTTCACTCAGATTCGGAAGGAGAGCCTGGGCATACTTGAAGTAACAATCTCCCGGTAGTGGATCGTCATCGAATCTGCCCTCGACAACCTTCCCAACAGCAAAGATCAAGACCAACTTAATGTACCAAAGTTTTGGGATGGGGGAAGATGACAGACGACCGTCGAAGAAAAGCGCTAGATGATCAGAGACCTCCCGGACATCGAAGTGGTGCTGAGTCTGGCCGATGTAAAAGTTAACACAATTCAAAAGGTGATCAGCATCGCCTTTGCCAGGAAGGCTTGGGACTTCCAGAAAAGTGTCTTGTAGGTTGGACCAGCTTTCGATAATATCCCGTGTCGTAGACGGTAGAAAGCTGTTATCCGACCCGGTAATTGAATCACTGGGATTGACCGGTGTCCTCTTCCACAGAAAATCCCGGACCCGTGATGTAGGGATATGGCTAGAGTTTATGTATGTGTCCGCCCTCATGGCTAAAGCGACAATTCAGCTCACAGTAAATTTTGGAATTTAGTAGACTGGTGATACGTACTGGAAGGGCTCGATGATTGCGGGTTGCAATTGGACATTGCCACGCTTGGATTTGACATCGGACTGAGACACGCTGGGTGACTGGTAACCCCGTTGCGGTTAGGTGATGAATCCCCTGAACGTGCGCGTGATGACGAGTCGTCATGGTTAATGTTATCGGATGCCGCTGTTCCTATTCTTAATCAGTGTCTGTCGAGCCTGCGCGATAGACGAAACTTTGAACCGCATTACCTGAGCGAATAGAAGCCGGAAGCTGTCCGGCATTTTCGCATATTGCAAGGCGACGTTCGAGCTTCTCGACATATCTGTAAGAAGCATGTGTGAGAATTGGCGAGTAAATGATGGTAAATCCAGATCGAGAACGCCAGCTTACTCAACCGAATATAGTCTCTTCTGGGTTTTCCTAGCGGAGCGGCATTCCAATCGCCGATCCTCGCAGTAGTCGCAGGGAATTGTACCCGAGCATTTCACTTTCTTTGAACGGCATGTCACACATCTGTGGATTGTTAGTCAATACCTTTTTGTGCGATTAGAAAAATATCATTATGTCGACATACGCGGTAGGCGTTTTGTCCTGTGTGGCCATTGCCCGCTTTAGCCCGGCGAGCTGCTGCATCGGACCCGTGTATGCTCCTGATCTGGGAACCAGTCACAAAGGGTAAGAGGAGATGAAAGCCGCGGCACTCAATATTAGTCCATATATATGAGTTGCTGAAATCGGGTCGGGGCAAGTTGGGAGCTGCAATTTGTGGGGGTTGAAGGTTTAACCTCGGGGAATCGCGCCGAGATTACCTAACCTGCTATGAATAACCGCATCCATTCTGGGGTACCCACGCCGCTGCAAAGTTTCAAACTTACATTAGACACGAGGGTATCTAATCAAAAGCCCATTGATTAAACGTAGATATTGAAGATAGATAAAACGACGACAGAGGCAAAATCATGAGTGCTTGTGTTTAGTGACCGCATGAAGTGACGAAGACCGAGAAGCCTGAACAGGCTGGTAGCGGGCCAGATTGCACGGGTCGTTTGATCTCTTTCCGTATGTCCTGTTCCAGTGGCAGTTACCACAGCCATAAACCGTTCCTGTCATGTCGTAGAACATGACACACTTCGCCCATGGGCCACGGCCTTGGGGACAGCCACTACATCCTGGGATTCGACGATCCCAACAATTTGCATCAAGGCCGATTCCGAGTTGCAGCGCTTTCCCCGGATCAGTTCATCCAGTTGGGCACCTGACAGCGATTTGCTATTCCTTAGCAGAGGCTCTCGTAATGGTGGGGCGGCAATCAGGGCACCGACAGCGGATTTGGCGTAGCTGGTCTGCATTTTCACGGATATATGGGAGGGGATGTCTTTGATGTGGGCTGCCCATTCGGCTGGTGCGATATTTTGCCAGCCCACCTTCACAAAAGGGATGATTCTTGGGCTTGTGGCATTGGGCAGACCGGGTAGTACCTTTTGGCGTTTGATCGTGATGGATCCATACTCCTCATACGGAGGACCGACTGGGTTTCTTTCGGACTTATTAGCATGAGCGTGAACGAACCGACAAGGGGAGCTTACATGATCTCTGGGTCGGGGTCGAGAGCAAAGAGGGAAGTCATCGGGTGTTGTTGCTGATGATTTTGGCTAGACCTCTGTCCTGCGGTTTACGATCCGTATTATGGAGAAATTCCATGTCGGAATAGTGGGGTGAGCAAATCAAAGGATGAAAAGCAGTATCCAAATGTGAAGTGAGGAGTAACGAGGTGTAAGGTCTAGAAGGGATTGAAGAAGAGGATTAGAATATTATGCAAGGGAATGGGGAAATTCCAAGCCTAAACATGAGGAACCAAGGGCAGTGAATGTCATAAATTTCCTTGAGCCGGAGGCGAGAGTTCTCCGTGGTCTCTGTCGGATTTTCTTCTAACCCCCCCCTCGCGGCTCCATATGAGAACTCATTTTGACTTCTGCTTCCATTCATGTAGATTCCTGGTATTCAATTACATAGGAAATATAGTGGACTTCGTAGTAGGGGGGACACTGATGTGAGTGAAGATATGTGTGAGTGTAAAATCCGAAGCGATCTGAAAAGACATGTAAGCCTGAAGAAAGCGAAGAGATATGATTCAAATAACGTCAATATTCTCTTTCTATTCAAGGTGTCACATATCAAGTTCTAGCAGGACATGAGAGAAATAATGACAGTGTGTGATAGTTTTCTGTGGACAAAGGAGACAATGACTGTGATATGGATCGATATTTGTGCCTGAGCCACCCGCCGCTTCAACATCAACCCCATATCCGAGCTCCACGTCAATGTCAAGTGGCAACGATGCGAGTGAAATGGTGCTCAACAGAGACCGCGTTGTTTACTCCTCCAGGATCATCCCGGCGCTCATCTCGCGGAGCCATCCAAACTTTCCAGCACTTCCATTTTCAATAATGAAATCGTTCCTCAGGCCCTAGCCGGTATACATCACAGATATCCTTGATATCTTTCTTCTGCCCGCTGTGAAATATCACGGAGCTGAGGCCAATAGCACGTGTTCGGCCGTCGACATACGGAGCAAAAGTCTCCGCATCAGCCTCGACGACGTTACCTGTTTTCTCGGATTCGGGAATCGTCGGAACTTGTCGCACTTCGAGTCCTGCCTCCCGAAGGGCCATCCAGCCATGTGCATGATTGGGGTGTTCGGAGTCCAAAATCGCCACGTTATCTCCCGGTGTGAATTCGATGCCACGGATAAAACTGTTCAGGCCTTCAGTCGTGTCGCGCATAGATGCAACGGACGTAGGATCGGCATTGATATACCGGGCGATCAGTTGCCGGACCTTTTCGGTGTTCTGCTGCCACTGGGGCTTTGGATGGGGGGAAAGCAAAGCTTGGGAGTAGAACTCGTTGATGGTGGCATGAATGATAACATTAGAGGGTGGCTGGAAAGAGGCATTGCGTTAGGTAAGGTTTTCGCGAGCGGCGAGAGGAACCAGTTGGCGAAAAACGTCGAAATTCCACACGTTTGACTTATGACGGGAAAGTAAATCCTTGGTCGTCAGGCTAGTTTCGTTGATCAACGAATTAACTGCGGAGGGTGCCATTTTGGGGGGAGAGTATGGTCAATCTAGCAAGTTGTCATTTAATTCTTCGCCCATAATTCACATCTCCTTCCACCATTTCTCTACTTTATATCCCCACAAAAGCCGTAGAATACAACATCTAACTCACTCTCCAACTCACTCAGTTCCCTATCGCTCATGTTCTTGCTCATCAACGCGGAGGCCGAAGTCCGTCGCTAGTGACCAATGAGAATTTGTTGTGGCAACGGACTTCCACCTCCTTTCCCCACATCGTGCCGCATCCGCTGACGAGCGTGGCGCGTCGAGCTCGAGGGGTCGCCTGATGATTTTCATGCCCCTATTGTTGCAATGAATCGATGGCCACCAAGAAATCAGAGAATTTGAAAGAACGCCATCGAACCCACAATTCAAAGAAGGGAATGGCGCAAAACAACAGGGGTGAGGTCGATTCTGACAGCGCGCCGATCATCTGTTTACATCACGTGAAATGCAGGGACCAAGAGCGACTAGGACGAAAATGGATACAGTACTTATCCGACATCTGAGAGGCGTACACTGATCTCCGGGATTTTAAGTTGTGCCAAGGTTTGATGGGAGAAATGACAGGAAGATTGCATTGGTACCAGTAAATCTTCCGTGATTGCCTGGAGTAGTATTTATACTATTTTATTAACGAGTTCTCGGTTCTCTAATCTACTACTGGTACTAATGCCCAGGTGCTTAAACCTTCAAGTTGGAAGTGATAGTAATTACACCTCCGCATATATACTCTTACAAATCGAATGGAAATTTTCAACATCATCAAAGTTGGAAAGCCTTGGCATTCCAAGGTGCTAACTTGAAGGTGGCTAGAAGCCCAGGATGATTTTCATAATCGGAGTTATGCCATCAATAGATCGGAAGAACGGAAGTACGCTTTAAAAATAGACAGAGGAGCAACTCGGCGAACGGCTCAAGGTACGCATTTCATCCGATCGGAATTCCGCTGATCATGAGAAATTCCTCTCGAAGTCGTGGAGACGGGATGCAACGCAGTGGGCCGACTCACGCCCGGGGCACCGTTCCGCCACACCGCTCGTGTTGATCGGGCCCAGCCCTGGGAGTTTGCCATTTACATAGTACGAGTATGGTTACTTCAAGCACATGGCGTATAGTGATTTTTGTCATGGAACAGGCTTTGGGTGAGAAATATTTGCCAGAGTTTCGCAACTAAACAATCCGGTCTCAATTGAAGGTAATATGTCTTTATTTTGGCGAAAACCAAACTGAAGAAAATATGGCGGACAAAGATCACTGCACGATGCAGATCTCGAGGGGCATTTACCGGAGGCACCGGGGTTGTTATGAGCCCCCGCTCGGTTGTCAATGGACAGGAAAAAGGGCTAAGAAAGCTAGTGGGGACTAGTATCAAGGTTCAACATCCCGGGCCGTCTCGCTACACCCACATCTGGAGCTTCAATCCATTGGGGCAAGATATGGGTCTAACGGTCGAACCAAAAAACTATCTCGGTCACTTCAGCTGATTCGGCCAAGGGGAATTTGGAATACCAAGTCTCCCTTGTGGAAGATCGTATATCATGAGAACCATGGAGCCTACGCCGCGCATGACACGATTAGATTGACAACCCATTCAAGTAAAAAGCGTTTGTTAAAACTAGGCACAGGCTGCAAGCTTAATGATCCTCTACATACTCGCAGATGCTCGTACGAGGAGAAGATGAAGAAAGAACCATCATGCTAGCCCCTGAAACAACTTAGCTCACACTGCCTTGGCAGACGGATACGAACGGACCTTGTTAGTCTCGATTATTCTGGAAAGGATAAACCGCCGATGCATTGTGTGGAACATTTTGATGATCAGCAGGGATGGCAGGTGAAATAAGTGGAGTCGGCATTAAACTATCGCCGATCGTTCGGGCAGTGTTGCTGTAAACGTGTTCGGCTAAACTATGAATGGGTGGATAACCCACGAGCTAGTTACCCCACTGCCGCGGCATGACAGCCTTCAACGGCGTTGGGCCAGAAGGTACGGAGTAGAGGGTACATGGAAATTATGCGAACTGGGTTGTTTCAGGGGAAAACCTTCGACCCCGGTATAAAAGCAAGGATTGGTACCTTTTTCAACAAACCAGTCGCTCTTTCAGTCAGTCCTTACCAACATTATGTTTCTTTCCCGTTTCGTCGGCCTGCTGGCGGCCACAGCCAGTGTGGCTAAAGCGGTCAACATCACAAATTATGAATATGTCGTCGTCGGTTCTGGTGCTGGTGGGGGTCCCCTAGCTGCGCGTCTTGCGCTGGCTGGTCACAAGACTCTTCTTCTCGAGGCTGGTGATGACCAGGGTGAAAACTACAACTACACCATCCCGGCCTACTCTGCCCGATCCTCCGAGGATGAGAAGCTTGCGTGGAATTTCTTCGTCAACCACTATTCCGATGAAGAGCGTCAAGCTCGTGACTGGAAGACCAGTTATGATACCCCCGATGGCGGACTTTACACTGGCCTCAGCCCTCCTGACGGCTCGAAGATGAAGGGAACTCTCTACCCTCGTACCGGTACCCTGGGAGGATGCACTGCTCACAACGCCCTGATCGCCGTCTACCCTCACCAATCCGACTTCGAATACATCTCTACCCTCACTGGTGACAGCTCTTGGACCCCGGATAATATGCGCAAATACTTCACCAAGCTCGAGAACAACAACTACTTGCTCCCAGGACAGGAGGGTCACGGTTATGACGGCTGGCTGTCTACCGAGACTGCCCCCCCTCAGCATTGTTTTGGAGGACCCCCAACTTCTGAGCATGCTTACCGGTGGTGCTTTTGCCCTCGGAAACCTCACTGACAACGTTATGAACATTGGTACTCTCCTGGCTGGCGATGCTAATGCCGACTCTAAGTCTCGCGACACCGACCCGGGCTACTACCAAATCCCCATTTCGACCGACGATGCCCACCGCAACGGTGCTCGTGAATTTATTATTGCTGTTCGTGATGCCAAGTTTGACAATGGCACTCAAAAGTACCCTCTCGATGTTCGCATGAACACCCACGTTACCAAGGTTGTCTTCGATGAGACCGTCACCCCTCCTCGCGCCACTGGTGTTGAGTTCCTGGATGGCCGTCACCTGTACCGCGCCAGCCCACTGTCCAAGTACGCCCTTGATGGTATCCCTGGCTCTGCCAGCGCCTCTCGCGAGGTTATTGTCTCCGGTGGTGTCTACAACTCTCCCCAGCTCTTGAAGCTGAGCGGAATCGGACCTGAGAAGGAACTCAAGAAGTTCGGCATCAAGGTGATCAGTGATCTTCCTGGTGTCGGTACCAACCTCCAGGATCACTACGAGATCTCTGTACAGGGAAAGATTGAGAAGGACTTTTCTTGCCTGGACAAGTGCACTTTCAGCATCCGCGACCAGGAAGACCCTTGTATCAACGAGTGGGAGTCTCCTATTCTGGGTGACCGTGGTATCTACTCATCCCCCGGTCTTGCCGCTACTATGCTCTACAAGAGCTCTACCACCGATGACAACTTCGACATCTTCTGCTTCGGAGGTCCTGTCAACTTCCGTGGATACTTCCCCGATTACAGCATCAACGCCACCGACGAGCACAACTGGTTCACCTGGGCAATTCTCAAGGCCCACCCCCGCAACACCGCCGGTACCGTTACTCTGCAATCCGCCGATCCCCTTGATATGCCTGAGATTACCTTCAACTACTTCGACACTGGTGTCGGCGACTACGACGCTGATCTCACCGCGCTGTACGAAGCCATTGAGCTTGCCCGTGACGCTTTCGATCGCCAACTTGTCAACATCACTGAGGTTCTCCCTGGTGCCGCCGTCCAGTCCAAGAAGGATGTCGAGCAATATGTCAAGGACGGAGCCTGGGGCCACCACGCCTCCTGCACCTGCCCCATTGGTGCCGACGACGACCCAATGGCTGTCCTGGATTCCAAGTTCCGCGTCCGTGGTGTCTCTGGACTTCGTGTCGTGGACGCTTCCGTCTACCCCAAGATTCCCGGTACCTTCACTGCTGTTTCCACCTACATGGTTGCAGAGAAGGCCGCCGATGAGATTCTGAGTGAGCTCAAGGCCGACTCCTAAGGGATATCAACCATTTTTTCTCTCATATGAAACAGAGTCAAGGTGTTATGTTACGGTTTCCGATGTGAACATTCATACTGTGATTTAATTGATTTCTACCCGAACATGTATATTTTAAAGATAATTCAAACCAACCCTTCAACATATTTTAACTTTCCTCGATTGCATACCATTTGTTTTAAATTTTAAGTAATTGAATCTAGCCTAGTCGAACCTCAAAGATACCAGTTAGTAAAAAGTAGGAGCGAAGGGTCGAAGTCAGTTCAATTTTTCTCAATTCCTCTCAACAACCTCGTCTTTCAGGCGCCCAAATCGCGTAGTGAAAGTTTATATCTATCATGAAAAGATAAAGGTCACGGAATTTTTCATCCATGAAAGCTACACCTGCATTGCGAATTTTAGTGACTTGATTAGCACCGTCAATTCTACTCGGTGGATGTTTCACGCGTTTCATGCGCCAAGGCGCGGTTGGAGAAGATGGAGCCATTTTCAGAAGCGAGGATATCTGGTCCATTTTTGAGATCTCAAATAGGAAACAAGGGGTTATCGATGGGAGAGGGGGAAGGGGCGAAATTGAGTCTTGGAGGACGGATACTTCCCCACGTGGGGGTTCTAGAGCCCCGATTATTTTCTCGGGCGTTTTGACCCCTCTATTCAAAAGCTTCAGCCTTCAATCGGGGAATCTCCGAATGCCGTTCGATTCAATTGTCATTTCCCGATCGAAGATACGGGCACCTGGGCAGGCGAACTTGAATGGGTTATGTCGTCACTCAAAATTAGATATGCACTGGCAATGTATTTTGCATTGTTGCCCAGGTGATGGCATTCAAGCTGCTATCATCATGATGATATATGGATGTTTAATATGGATCTGAAAATTCACCTACTACTGACACCTGTTCTTCCCTCCAATATATACTAGTACTATCCGCTCACGACTGATTTATGTGCCCAGGTGGAAGCTCCGTTCAGGGTCGAACAGAGAACAAGCACGGATAGGAGCCAAATTCAAAAAGAATTGATTTAAAATGGCATTAAAAGGGTAGGAGATGTTAAGGCGAGCTCCCAAACTAGTAAACATACTCAAAGTTCGGGTTCTCCTTATCGGTCAAATCAGCAAAAGCTGTGGCGTTCAAAGTCAACTCCGCCTCCCTTCCTTGCTCTCGCAATGTCTGTCGCCATTGTTCCTTCCGCTTGTTTTCCCAGATGAAGGCGTAGCGGATTACAAAAAACAAAATAAGCTCAAGACAATTTGAGACCAACAGAGATCCAATACCCAGGCGATATGTTGGTGCTTGCTCCGACTTGTAAAAGAAAGGACCAGCAATATTACCAACACAAACACCGAACCATATCATGCCGGAAACAATCATTTTCTTTGACTGACCACCAATGTTTGATGTGATGATTGAAAGGGATATCACGAAAGAGGCCTGGTATGAGCCGGTGAGGTAGCTATAGAATGAAAGAGAAATGGTCAGTAATCTGAGAAGGGAAATATTCTCGCAAAATGTATCGAAACTTACAAGCAAATTAACCGGGCAACGTAGGCATCGTCCGGGGCAAGAAGAAATCCAAGGCCACCTGCAATAGTTGGGAGCATGAACAGAGCCGAAACCCAAGTGCGACTGTTCTTCGGAAGGTATTGATTGATCACCGCCCCCAGAACGATCCAGATCACGACTATGACACCCTGGGGTATTCCGAGCAAGGCAGTATTAAGTGTATCAAACCCCAGACCTTTGATAACCAGTGTCGAAAAATTGGATATGCCGCCGTTCGGGATGTTGGCAACAAATCCAAGTAGAAAGAATAGCCACATTTTATAATCCAGATATGCCTCTTTTATTTGAGACCACTTAATCCTTCGCTGTTCTGCACCAGTCTGGTTTTTCCGCAGACGAGCAATCATTATGAGTTTCTCTTCATGTGTGAAGCCCTTGTAGGTGGTTGGCGAGTTGGGGAGTAGGAAAGCGAGAACAATGCCCCAAGCTGAGCACACTGCCCCAACAATGATAAATTCATAGCGCCAGGAGTCAAAGGCACCTTTGATGTTACCGATTCCGTAGCCTAGTTTAGAAATTATGTCAGAAAATCCACCTCGGAAGTAAATTGAACGGAAAGTCAGGCTACAAGTAGAATGTTGAATCCATACCGATCAGACCACCCCCAGCCACACCAATACCATTCCAAAGATAGTAGCCCGCTATTCTCCATGGTTGTTCCTCTCTGGTATAATATGTCGAGATATAAAGCATAAAAGCTGGGTCTGCGATGGCCTCAAAGGCACCCGAGAGTACTCGAAGAGCGGCAAGGGCCTCGAAGTTCTTGGAAGCGGCTTGGCACATCAATAATGCACCCCACATGAAGATATTGAAACTCAGATAATATGCGGGAGGTGACCTTTGCATGAGCAAGTTGGAGGGGATAGCCCAGGCAAGCCAACCAAAGTAGAAGATGCTTGACAGCCAAGAGTATTCTGCACCTTGAAGATGCAGAGAGTCCTTGATTCCGAAAATCGCTGCATATGAAAGGGTTGTTTTATCAACATACTTCAGAACTTATGGATCAGCATTGCAAAGGCCAATAATAGTATATAGCCAAGGGGGTACTCACGTAGAAGAAGTAGCATATGCCTAGGACAGGGATAATGCGCATGTCTAGCTTCCGGACAAGACGCCTTTCCGCATCCGGGTCAATAGAATCATTTTCAGGATATCTTTCGAGCGCTTCCAGGTAAATCTCGTCGTTTTCCTGGTCAATCACGGCTTTGACTTTCAAGTCGCCTTGTGCTGCATTGAGGTCTCGTACGTCTTCAATTGCCACGGAATCTGTGAAGTCATCTCGTTTAGAATCCATAGTTTGAGGGGTGGGACATTCATGTGTCAGAAATGATGATCGTTGAGAATCAGTCCACGCGAGGACTTGGGGTTTCCCGTTCATATACCGCGCTAGGAATCCTGGGCACGGGATGGCTTGATCAGCTATCACCCCCACGGCAGCCCGGGAGGTTGAAGGAAAGAAATTAGATGTTCATTTGTGGAAAATTTATGACTGAGGAAACTCAAAGCATACCCCAGACCGCTTCGGAGGACTTCCGCGATAATGATTGCGGGGAGAGTGTGCGGGGAAGTCATCCATTACCCGATCGGTAACCCCTTGCCCGGTGCCCCCACGCCCTCCGTCCAATCCCATTCCGCCAGACTGAAATAATGTATGATGGAATGGCTGGTATTTAGTTCCCTAGAGATCGTGGGGGTGGATTAAAGCAGACAGCAGAATTTGATACGCTTACTCTGTACAGCTCTGATATGAATAATTATGGAATTTTCTGTCTGTGGAAGATTCGACACCTGCCTCCATAGCGATGTTTGGTCCATGGCTGTTGTTGGATCTGGAATTGGGCCAGTGCTAGACATATATCATCTAATGTGGTAATGAATGGAATTTGAAAGAATGTATGGGGCGTTCCATCTAAGATAGACAAGGAAGTATCTACTGCAAGCATTTTTTTCAAGATTGCCATTTCTCATGAAGTCTAACATCATTTGGAGAAGACACGAATTTTCCAAGCCACTGGACCTCACTAGCCAAGCTCTCACTTTCTCATATCAGAGAAATTTGTGGAGAGCATCTCGAGTCGTTTGGCCTCGCTATCTGCAAGATCCTCATGGGCTTGCATGGACCCTATCGGATGGTATGGAAATGGCCTAACCGAATGTTAGAATTCTAGCGCTCATAGGTACGATCTTTTGATCTTACCCGTATTCAGGAACCCATGTAATGCAGGATCCAGAGCTTTTATACTGCTTGTATTCAATGACATCAAGCCAAAATCTCTCGAAAAATTCCCTTTCGGCGGCGAAAGCTGGATTCGCAGGCTCTGGGCACTGCGAGGACTGTGTGGTTCCGATACGAGCATGTATATGATTGACCTTATTCGATGTTAATGCCTGGAAATGGATGAAAACTGGGCGGCGTACATGGGGAATAATAGAGGCCAAGAGCCTGATGTCATTGTTCCCTTGATTTAGAAGGCGCTCGCCAACAACCACCCAATGGGAAATATCTGCAGTGATTTTTAATCTGCCTTTCGTTAGTGATAGCCAAAGTCATTTCACAAACAGTGGTATTGACTCTGGCACCTGCTGTAGTATGTCGGCCGCAACCCGGATATTGAATAGAGATCGCCTCCGATGGGTCTCATGACATATCTTCCCTTGAAGTCCAAACTCTTTATCAATCTGCAGTGTTCTTTTATAGAACTGAACAGACTCTTCAAGCGTCCAACAATCCCTATGAAATCAAGTCAGTTTAAAATCATCAATTTTGATAGCGCGGGTGCTCCCACGATCCAGATTGCGCGGTGATCACAACTGGTCTCAAATTAGAAGCAATTTCAAGCTGCGCCTTGTAGAAATCTATATGTGCTTCGACTGATAGCCCCGGTGTAGACCCTGCATCCTTTGGCCAAGATGAAAACATGCTACCAATGATTAGTCCCGCGGGAGAGAAGACCTGACCAGCACATCGAATGACTTGTTACTTACACCACAGCAATTTCAAGGCCTTCAAAGTCACAAAACTGGCGGGTATTTTCCAGATTCACGATTGGGTTGCCATCGAAGCTGAGATTCAGTTCAATCCCAGCTGTATTACATCAAGCAGAATGTCAGAACGGCCCGTCCGTCCAATAAGGGAGCGATTAGCTTACAGTATCCATGGAGTTTCCACTCTCTCAAACGACACTTCCAGTTATTTTGTTCTGGTCCTGGTGGGATACCCCAAGTTGACCTATATCGTGAGAGAAGCACCATTATGACTTGACTCCAGTGCGAATTGAAGGTATTTGGTGAGACTATGAAGTAGTTGGATAGGAAGGAACAGGGGGATGGAGGATGAAATAACAAAAAAGGCGCGGGTGCGGTTATAGATGGCTATAGCTGTAAGATGATGTGGCCACTTACTAGGAAGACTGACCCTTTGCCGTTAGTTGACATTTCACGATCCACATGCACCCAGGCAAGAAATACATCACCGCCCCCAGACCCATCTGCAAAGTTTCCCTGGTTTCCCTAGGCAAATGCCAGTCCCAAACGTCAGAGATGATCCTCTTTCTTCTTCTTTTTTTTGCGATAGTGAGAGTTGGCTCTTACGAACCGGATCATGAAAGATAAACGGTTCTCAGCTCAACCAAGTTTAAAATTATTATTATTTTATCATTTTCTTTTTTTTTCGAAACTGCTGCCCGGAGGCGGGAGTATCCAGGGGCTTGGCACGTCTTACTGGTTCGGAAAAGATACGAGGCTCCCTGCGAGCAGAGAAAAAATCCCCGCATTACATTTAACAAGTTCTCCAAGGAGACTCAGAATCATGAAAGTGGTGATGTATGTTCTGACTATCACTGCCTGGGAGTGAGAGGCCAGAATGCGCAAGAATTCGATATGAATTGCTGCCTGAGGAACCAACACCTCAACAGGAAGCAGCGGTCAAATGCGGAGTAGACTGGTGTTGCCAGTGGGTCTTCCTGGGGAAATCGAGTGGCGTTCAAATCTCGGGAGGTTTGCCCGACAAGTTGGAGAGTCACGATTCAAGGGGCCCGATCGGAGGGGTTGGTACGAGGAAATCACGTGAAGTGACGGTACTGAGAATGTGGAGAGAGCCTCCCTACCTACAGAAAGTCCACTCGTATATATGCTCAGTCTCACTGATCCTGTCCAGTGCTGTCCCGAGATATCTCCGGTATGGACCCAGGCGAACCTGGCCAAGACCTTGGCATCACATTCCAGCCGTCACAGCCACCGGTGCCATTGCAACCTCGACCAAATCCAAGTCGCCAAAGAGATAAGCCACAGCTCTCCTGCAATCCCTGTCGGCGCCGCAAGTAAGAGTCTTGGCAATCTCAACTAGTTAGGGCTGAAGAGTTGATACGATTTTAGATCACGATGTGACCGTCAGCAGCCATGTTCCTGCTGCTCTTCGCGTGGCCAAATATGCACCTATGTGGACGGCCAGGGCCTGCCGGTTTCTTCAAACCTTTCGGAACCACGTGCAGTTCATGACCGTTTGGTACAACTGGAGCGATTAGTAGTCTCACTGATGGCCGACTCTGGAAGCAAAGCTCCTGCTAACTCGGTTCCTGAAGTAGCTACCCAGTCCCAGACAAAGTATGCTCCCTCTGATGGTACGATCATAGAAGCGGGGATGGGAGTACCGAGTGTGGCAGTATGCGTATCAGTGAGTCGGAGGTTAGCTACGTGGGACGTGATCACTGGGCGATTCTCCGTGATGGGATTGCAGATCTCAAGATTCACCTTGACCGTGAGGAGCAGCTTCGACTCGCGAATACACCACCAAATCATGCCACTGATGAGCATGGGAGCACCTTTGCACAGCCTAAATCTGGATATGCGATGCTTCTGTATGGAGGTCGTCGATTACTTTCTCGAGAAGAGATTCTTTCAAAGTTACCCCCAAAAGCGGTGGTCGATCGCTATGTATCTCGATATTTTAACTACCTGGACCTTGTTTCGTCATGTGAGTTTGCTATCCTACTTCAATTGGAGATGTCCTAACTTCGATTCCGATATAGCCGCTGTCCATGGTCCAAGCTTTCTACGCGAGGTAAGGTCATATGGCCAGTTCTTCGAGAATATGCACTAACTGCAGCAGTATGAGATATTTTGGAACGATCCGTCAACAGTACCGATCATGTGGATTGGGCTCCTGTTCAGCATTATCTGCCTTGGGTGCCTAGTATCCGGCAAAACGTCCGAGCAGAATACGGAAGATTTCTCACTTCAGGTCGACCTTTACCGGGAAAGAATTGTCCAGTGTCTGATTCTGGGGGAATATACAAGATCCGGTCCATGCGTTTTGGAAACAGTAATTAACTACACATACGCCGAGTTCTACATTCGAACCGATGCCGACAAGGATATCTGGTTTCTGTTGGCCTTGGAGGTTAACTTAGCCATGCGAATGGGCTATCACCGTGACCCTAATCACTTCCCCGGTATTTCACCATATCAAGGGGAGATGCGTCGTCGATTATGGGTCATAATATTGATGTCCGACATAACTATCTCGAGCCAAATGGGCATGCCACGGATGATTTCGGACTCCAAATGGGATACTATGGAGCCACGAAATCTGAACGACACGGATTTCGATGAGCGAACGACCGATTTGCCTCCATCCCGCCCACTCACCGAGTACACCAGTTCACTTGGAATAATTGCGATGAGGCGTGTTATGACCGCACTGGGGGCTGTGGTCGAGCTGGCAGACGGAGTAAAACCTTGCAGCTATCCAGATGTGATGCGCATCGACGCCGCCCTCCAACAGGCAGCAGCAAGTATCCCCCCGCCGCTGAGGCCAAAGCCCATGGCGGCGAGCCTGACCGACCCTCCGCAGATAATCATGTCTCGGTTGTTCCTATCCCATCAGATCTATCAGGGACAGATTGCGCTGCATCGCCGCTTTATCTGCTCAAAGTATCGTGATGCGGAAGGCAACCCAGCTTCACACTCGCACAAAGTTTGTTTTGAAGCTTGTCTCGGTACCTTGGATATTCAACACTTGGTTGATGAAGAGACCGGGCCAGGGGGGCAACTTTCTACAATGGGATTGCGAGCAGACGCACTAATGCATCATCAATTTCTCACCGCAACGATGATTCTCTGCACAATGCTCCATGTCGCACATCCAGTGCAACGGGGCTCAGATATCCGCGGGGCACTCCAAAGATGCCGAAACGTTTGGATGAAAAGGAGCGATACCTCGACAGATGCACGAAAGGCGGCCGATACCGTCACCTTCGTCCTGGACAGGTCAACTGATAGTCAAAATTATGGGACTCCATCGAGTCAAGCTGTTAAAAAGCATGGTGGTAGTGATCCCCAGACCAACGATGGTCACTTGGATGATGAAGACAACATCAGATCGGTGCTGTCTGAAGAAGTGATGTGGCCAGTCGATATTGGTTCTTTTAATCGTGGGTCTCGGTCTCCCCATCCCTGCTAATTGCTACTAAATTTCGATCTAATCATACTCTAGCTGAGAATTTTGTTATGCCTAATTCTTTTGGCAATTTTCCCCTACCGGGACAGCAAACACAGGACTTCCAGCAATTTCAAAATTTTGATGCCGACGCCGATCTTATGGAAAGGCGAAATTATGAATGGATGTCAATGAATTGGTCTCATAGATAGCGGGCCTTATGCGTCGAGATATTGGATCCTCAAACCAAAAAAGCAAAACAAAATCATGGCCTATTCACATTCAAGGGAATGTATATCGCTGTTGCCTGTTATATTTTCCAAAGGGTATTCTGATGTTACTTGAGAACTGAATGGCCGACATACGCCGTATAATATGGAACTTAATTATTTAAAGCACTCTGGGCTCTTTTTGATCAGGAAAAATAACTCAGGATTCATCGTATCCATGGATTTAGATCCCGCCAGATTCCGGGCACCTTTGCTGCTGTCGTCCTTTGGTGTAGACCCTGACAAAGAGCCTTTTCGCTTTGACATAAGAGACGCCCGGTCGAGAAGGCAAAAAGGCGACCGCATGATGGATGTCCTGGCTAACATCCGAACACATAAATTCCGATAATTCCGATAATTCTGATGAAAAGGATGTAAAAGGTTGTTTTTGAAATCTAGGTTTGATTTGTAGTCATTCTGATTCTAAAGGGATTCGCAAAACATTCTCTCAACTCAAAACCCGTCACTGAAAAAAGGAACCAGAGTAAATCTAAACTCCCTCTCTTCACAAGCGACGAGATACTTGTCCAGAGTAGTCGGCCCACAAGCACCAGTACCCACTCCGCTACATTCAGCGTCAAGTCGCACATGAACCGTTTTTCCAGGAGCAAGATCGCACGGGTGCCTTGCTGATTCAATCTGCTTTGCACTGTAACGAGACGCGGCCCAGTGAAAATGGACTGTAGGGTCCTTGTCTGTATGCACAGAGTCTCTGAAAATCTTGATACCCCAGCCGCGATTATCGCTCAGCTGCAACCAACGGGTCTCGGATCGGTTTCCACCCTCCTGGGGAACTTCATATGGCGTGTGAAGCTGTTCAGTGCTCGCCTTGTATATTCCAAGCTTTTGAGATCGTTTCTTGTCTGGATAAGACTCCCCGGGTCCTAAACCAAACCATTTGGCGTTGTCCAATTTGTCGGTGAGACGCAAGTCCAAACCCAGTCGTGGCAGATCCAAAGGAATGGATCCTTGAGGCTTCACATGCGAGGCCACAGAAAGTTTGCCATCTCCAGTAACAGTATAGGTGGTTGTCACTTGGAAACCCCATGCAAGAACAGGTGGACCAACCCAGGCTTCCGTCAATATTTTCACAGAGTCGCCCTCAACTTGAGAAGCCTTGGTGCTTCGGAGCTGGACTCTCATGTCGTTCAGTCCATATCTTTTCCTTTCTTCGAGATCTGATGACATGGTATCATTGTCGGTTGGAGGTCGCCAAAATCCCGGGGTTAATGCAGTGGCTGTTTTGAGATCAGGATCCAGAAGCTGGTGCCCCTTAGAGGTCCAGCTTGTCAAGCCACCAGTGGAGCGTGAAAGGCAGATCTCAAAATCTGGCCCTGTCACACTGTAGCTTGAACGGTTGGAGCTAAGCTGAATAGGGAACCGAGGAGAAAGAGAAGGGCCGATCGAAGATATTTTGAAAGGGTGTTGAAACCAAGCAACCTCGTGGCCACTCGGGGCCCAGGTAGTAGATTGGATGTTCTGAAAGCTGACAGTGAGCCAAATTTCACCCTCGGGAAGACTCGGTAGATCCTGAGCAAACTCGATATTTGCACTCTGTCCAGCCTTCACGGAAGGAACCTTGAGACTACCGGTGGATATAATGGTTGTCCTGCGTTTTCTGTTAGCTTGGTTTCAAAAACCTCAATGTGGATTCTTACTCTTCCCCGAGCGATTCAATGCGATATAAGGCCTGAAGATGCTCTAGCTCCGTGAAGTCGTATCTATTCTCAATGGAGATCGACCCGTTGGCGTAAGAGGCGTGCACCGGCGAGTAGGCCTTCTGTAGCTCAATGAGGCCAGGGGTCGGAGTATGGTTGCTAAAACATAGCCCATCCATAACAAAAATACCATCATTGGGGAAATCGTCAAAGTCACCACCATAGCCGTAGAAACCTCGCTCTTCATCCCAGAGACCGTGGTTTGCCCATTCCCAGATCCATCCGCCTTGCAGTCGTCGATGGGTTCGGAAAGCTTCCATATACTCTTCCAATGCACCTGGTGCATTTCCCATTGCGTGGCCATACTCGCAGAGTACGATTGGTTTTTTGAATTCATCACCCTCTGCGACAGCCAATTTTTCAATCCGTTTGACAGAGGGGTACATGTAAGAGAACATGTCGGCGGACTGTGCCTCCGGGTCGCCCTCGTAGTGAATCGGTCTGCTCGGATCGGTAGACTTGATATAGTCATGCATCGCTTGATGATTCTGGCCGTAGAATGCCTCGTTTCCGAGAGACCAAATCACGATACAAGGATGGTTTTTGTCGCGCTGGACCATTTGAATAGCACGATCCAAGTACGCATCCTTCCACTCGGGGTTGTTGCTAGTGTATTGAGCGGCCTTCTCAAAAGTCAGCTTCTTGCGTTCCTCGTAGTCCATTGATTCTGGAATATCGAGAGGCCGTGCGACCGCATCATAAAATCCGTGACATTCCAAATCCGCTTCATCCATTACCCATAACCCAAGCTCGTCACAAAGCTCGTATAACCGAGGGTGCGATGGATAATGACAGCATCGCAGAGAATTGAGGTTATGACGTTTCATGATAAGGAGATCCTCACGCAGGAATGACAGGGGCACAGCACGACCGAACTGAGGGTGGTGGTCATGGCGGTTGGCACCGCGGAAGAGGATTGCCTTGCCGTTGACGGTGATATTTCCTTTCTTTATTTCAACCTGGCGGAATCCAACACGATGATGTATCTTCTGGACAGTTGTCCTATCCGACGAAGTGTGTAGACTGATAGTGAGATCGTAAAGATACGGTGTCTCTGCGGTCCATTTCTCGGGGCGCTTCACCGGAATTTCCAATATCGCATCCCCATCGTCGACCTGTGACACACTTGCAGAACCGATGACACCATGTGACCCTTTTCGATCGCTAAGTGTCGCTTCCAAGACCACGGGCTCGGTAGTTGTAAGGCGGACTGTGATTTTAAGAACAGCGTCCTCGTAGGATTCATCGAATTCGGTTTTCGCGAAGAAGTCTTCAATCCGCGCAGCGGAAGGAAATGCAAGTAGGTTTACATCGCGAAAGATTCCTGGGATATAGTTAGCTTCCAGCAAGTGTGTCTGAATTCTGTGAAGAAAACATACCCGAAAGCCACCACTGATCTTGATCCTCGATGTACGATCCATCTGACCACTGGTAAACACGCACGACAAGATCGTTTTTCCCCTTCCGATCAACGAACTGTGAGATGTCAAACTCGGCTGGATTGCGGCTACCCTGTGCATATCCGACTTCATGTCCGTTCACCCAGAGATGGTAGGCGCAGTCTACCCCATCGAATCGGAGCCGCAGTTGCGCAGATGGGTCCCAATCAGGCGGCACGTCGAAAGACCTCCGATATGTACCTGTCGGGTTTTGGCTAGGGACACGAGGTGGGTCACAAGGAAATGGAAAGATGGTGTTTGTATAGTTCGGTCTTCCATGGCCTTGTAGCTGCCAGTGACCAGGAACCGAAATAGTTGTCCATTGCACCGATTCAGACGGCGTGTCGCTCTTCTTGTCATTAGAAACTTCAGGGGCCAATAATGGCGACAACGCGTAATTAAAGTCCCATCGGCCGTTCAGCGACAGTGATGTTTGTGGAAGAAAGTATGCGCGAGGGGGGAGTTTGTTTCGCTGGAAGATGCGCGGGTTCTCCCAGTCGCAGGTGCTGCTATCAGCCTCGGACATGGTGTGATCGACAATTCAAGAAAGAAAAGGCTGAAATCACAACTCTCCCTTTGTGAGATAAATTCCCGCAAATAATTTCTCTCTGCTCTTTTGTGTCAGCGGCAGTCGGGTTCTTAAATGGTATCCGTCCAACTACCAAGACAAGGACCCGCAAATTGAAGGGGAAGAAAAAAAAAAAAAAACACAGATCATCAGTCGTGCGGGGATCGTGGAACACGTTGTGATTACCCCTCCCTGCTACTAGTACGATGCATCGTGGACTGTCACGGCATATTGGGCTCATCTGGACACGATGCTTGCATTTGGTGCTCATGCGATCCGTGATTCGCGGACAATCGTCTTGTGCACATGTTGAGATGCTAGCTGCTTTGCCGAGAGCCTGTGACCATAACAGCCCCCAAACTATTTCTTCCGGTAAGTGAAGCGATTCCAAGTGTTGCTGCACCTCCTCTGTATGTACGAGTACAGGATACTCGCAATCCATCCCTTGACCCGATCTGCGTGTTCGGTTCCGATATCCCCGGCGGACCTACTGATGGACCCACTTCAAATCATGCTCCGCCAATTCGATGATATTCACCTGTCCAGCTGCGCGTTTCTCTAAAAAATAGCAAAAATCTTGATTGTGCAAGCTCAGCTTTGAATTCCTTGGATAGGGCCTTCTCCGTGGTTTGATTAGAGATGGGAAAAATCTAGTAATATGACCAGCTTAGCATGTTATTACTACTAGGTAGTCGCGATCTTTCATCCTAAAAAGCTGGTGACTCCTCGGACACCCAGGATATATCTTTGCGTGTCAAAATTGAAAACTTGCCGGGCATGAAAATCAGGTGGTGGTTCTACAAGGTAATTCATATATGGTGTTTCGAATCCCATAAGATATATTCCAACTTGAAGGTTGCTGGTATCAAATTAGATCTGACGAACACTTGATGCTTCGCACTTGCTCGTCCGGTAAATTCTCGGCTAGAGCCGAGGCGACCGGTTAAATCAAAACAGGCTAAACCCGACCTAGACTCGGGGGCGTCTCGGCCCTCCAAGTCAGCCCCTGCATTACTCGCTCGGGGGTAGCGGAGCCGATGATGCGGGGTGATCACTTGAAAGAATTTCGCTAAACCACGTTAGACCATCCACACACACTGTTCGGGATAGCTAGTGCATAGCTTTGAATCCAGGAATGGGGATAGGTCCTTCGGTTCATGCCCCAAAACTGCAGCATCCGCATTGTCGAGCCAGTCACAAGCCAGTCGGGGAAACGCGACCCGAAAGCGCGTGCCACCGCGAAAGCCCTCAATTTGGCGTCGTTCCTAGAGTTTAACTTTGGTTAACCCCGGATTTTCAATCTACCAACATGCTGGCCATCATGCAACCCAAATGTTTTAAATACCCACATATACCGCTGATCCTTGGGCTCTATGCAGCTCTCCAATTCATCGCGCCATTTACGACCACAACTTTCGATTGAAGTTCGCAACAAGTCTTGCGTCCTCCAGCATACAAACCTGCGATGACGGCCATGGACCCCTCTAAGCCATCCCTTGAACATGTCGAGGTTGGCAAGGATGGCGTGGAATCCAAAGAAATGGCCCTGCAAGAGACCAGCGAGGCGATTCAACTGGCTGAAGCGGTGGAGTCTATGAAATGTAGCCCATGGACTGCCAATATGTTTCGCCTTTACGGCTGCTTGATGGTCGCATATCTTTGTGGTTGTCTCAATGGGTATGATGGGTCGCTGATGGGAGGAGTGAACGCGATGACTTCGTATCAGCAATATTTCCATATGTGAGTGCCTTTCTTCCTACCCTAACCTTGGAAGTCCCTAAATCTAACTCTACTTGACAGGAAAACCGCGTCCTCGGGAACTGGTCTGGTTTTTGCCATCTACAATATCGGATCTATACCCGCTGTCCTTCTCTCCGGCCCCGCAAATGATATATTGGGACGTCGGATGGGCATGTTTATCGGAGCTGCGATTATCATTGTCGGAACTTGCGTCCAAGCACCAGCTATAAATCACGGAATGTTCCTTGCTGGACGATTTATTCTTGGGTTCGGGGTCAGCTTTTGCTGCGTGAGCGCGCCATGCTATGTCTCTGAGATGGCACACCCAGTCTGGCGTGGTACGCTGACGGGTCTCTATAATTGCACCTGGTATATCGGATCGATCGTTGCTAGTTGGGTCGTATACGGATGCCAGAGTATCGCCTCTGCAAATGGATTTCGCATCCCAATCTGGTGTCAGTTGGTTTCATCCGTCATCGTGGCCTGCACCACGTGGTTCCTACCAGAGTCCCCGCGTTGGCTTATGGCACAAGATCGCGTTGATGAGGCCATCCAGGTTCTCGCGACGTACCACGGCGAAGGTGATTCTAGTCACCCCATTGTGACACTCCAAGTCAAGGAGATGCAACATCAGATTTCTGTCACGGTGGATGATTCCAGTAAGAAGTGGTGGGAGTACCGTGAGCTCTTCAACACACACTCAGCTCGCCGTCGCTTCATCTGCGTGGCCGGCATGGCTTGCTTTGGCCAATTGTCTGGAAACAGTCTCACTGGGTACTATCTTCCAGTGATGGTGGAGAATGCGGGTATAGGTTCGGTCAAAACGCAGTTGATGCTGAATGGAATTTATCCCGTCATTTGTTTCTTTGCCGCCATCTCTGGTGCAGGTCTCACAGATCGTATCGGACGACGACCGCTGATGATCTACTCGCTTCTTTTCTGTTCCGCCGCCTTTGCAGTGATTCTCGGGACTTCGAAAATGTCAGTCGACAACCCGGACAACTCCAGTGCAGCGAATACTTCCGTTGCATTCATTTACCTCTTCGGTATCGTGTTTTCCTTTGGCTGGACACCGCTGCAGAGCATGTATATTGCCGAGACGCTGTCGACCAACACACGAGCAAAGGGCACGGCAGTTGGAAATTTGCTATCCAACATCAGCAGCGCCATTATCTCCTACAGCTCGGGACCTGCATTCGCGAAGCTGAAGTATTACTTCTATGCGGTATTCATCGTTTGGGATCTCATTGAAATGGTCGTGATTTACTTCTGGTTCCCGGAGACCAAAGAGCGCACCCTGGAGGAGCTCGAAGAAGTTTTCTCCGCGCCAAATCCCGTGAAGAAGAGTTTGGAAAAACGCGATATCACCACTGTTTTGCGGACTTTGGAGGTCACAGATGACCATAATACACGGAATGGCGTCTGAGTGTCTTTGCGCAGTAATAATGTTATCTTTGATCAAGCGGCCCAGAAGTGAAGCGACCGGTGAACTCGAATCGATAGGGGTTAGCTAGCAGCACATTTACTATCTGGGAGCAATCGGAATAATTGATTATGAATTTTGAAATATTTTAAAATATATGCCTCAAAGCACTTTTTCTTACATATTCGATGTTTGATTCTTGTTCATTGTTGGTCTGGAACTCAAATTTCAGAAAATCAACCGATGCCGCGTATTCAAAATGACTTTTCGTCGGCTAAACTAAGCCACCTTAATGCGGGGCCCCAGACCTCTTCCGATCTCTCAGATTTGCTGCTCTGTCTTTCTCCTTTGACAAACTTCATGATTCAACAATATGATGTCCCCAGACAGAGAAACGGAGAGTCATAAGCGAAAACGAACGTGTCTGGCGGTACGTCCTTTGCCTCCTCTCTCATTTTACATGCGCGTGGCGTTAACTGTCAGGTCTCAGTGCGACCCCTGTCGCTATCGGAAAGTGAGGTCAATATGCATGGTCCCGCCCTGTTGAGATCGAAATATGCGCTAACATATTCCTCCTAGATGCGATGGACGTCGGCCCTCTTGTACAACTTGTACCCAAGGGGGAACGGACTGTGTGTATGGAGCTGAAGCTATCAAGTATGCTGGTCTAGTTTACCACCAACCTGTCTCTTTCGAACGACTTCTGATATGCAAGACAGCAGGAGCAAAAGTGACATGATTCTGGACGTCGCTATCCGGTCGGAAAGTCTCCTGCAGCAGTTATCCGCACAGCTCGTTCGTCCTATCCTACCCGAGGCCTCTTTGCTTGACTAACATTCTTTTCTAGGCCCAAGCATCCCACCGAAGTCCAGCTAATATCTCGTCTGTGGCATCTCCTGGTAATGCAATCTCCCCCAGCACGGTTAGTAATTTTGGTCGCGGGGAGGGGCCTTCTGATCATATTTCCAACGCCATTCTATCACCATTCCATGCGTCAACGACGGAATCTATTTTATCGTGGCCGCATTTCGGTGAATTCAGAAGTTTGATCAAGGAGAGTAAATTTTCAGTTTTCCAACTCGAAAATGCGCGCAGGCCACTGTCTCACAGGCCGTCACCCCCCTCAGCCATATATGACGAAGGGCGACATAGAAAAAACGATTCGAAGCTTCGAGCGGGGAATCAACTTCTGGTATCCCACCATGGCGAGATCTACTGCAAAAAGTTTGAAGGAATATTTATCGTCAGGCGCGATAGAAAAGAGTACACGCTCATGCCTAGCTTTGTTAGTGATGGCTCTGGGGTGTTCCTCCGAGCTGGTGGGATTATTCACGACCAAGGAAACACCAGATACTCATTCGGTTGAAATGGAAAGTCAACAGCGCTTCCTGGGCTCGATGTATTTCGAGTGTGCATTTAAGAAGATTCCCTTGGCACAAGCGGAATTCACAGCGGATGCCGTCCAGTGCTTATTCTTCACGGGGTACGTTATTTTCTCGCGACGAGCCTCCACATCATAAGCGTCTAACAACAGTCTCTAGCCTGTATTTCTCTTTTCTACAAAGGCCGCTGCAGGCCTGGTCGTTCATAAGCGCAGCTGCAACCAAGTGTAGGCTGCTTTTATCCTATACCCCCTCCGACCAACCTCCGGAGCGATTAGAGTGCCTTCGCAGGATATTCTGGTCTTGTTATATACTCGAGAGGTGGGCACTTATCCCTGCCTGTATAGTACAACAACGCTGATTTAATTTTCCAGTGACTTTCTGGCTGAATTATCCGCCCTTCCACAAACAGGCATTGCGGAGATCGAATCCCTTATTCCTCTGCCGGGCGAATACTCCACCCAGGAGTCACAGAGCGACCAGGAACAATCTTCTCTTTACTTTCTCGCTTGCATCTCAATGCGTCGACTGCTCAACCGTGTACATGATCTTCTATATGCTCGCAATGATGGAGTGGGTTTTGACAATAATCAATTCCCCTCCGTCGTTTCGGAGCTCGGTCACCAACTAGAAGAGTGGAAAGACCTTCTACCATTTCACTTTCAGTTTTCCGTTGACCTCGACTCGACAAAATCTCCGGAAGGTGCCTTTCTTCGTCAGCGGTATTTGACCTGCAAGAGTGTCATTTATCGGCCTTATCTTACCTGGGCGCTGTCAAATAGGGAAGAGGTAGTCGAATGCCCCCCCCATTGTATTTGAGGGATCGCGCCTTTGTCTGGAGGCATGCTGGATGCATGCGCAGAATCTACGGAATATTCATCATACGGTCATGGTGGATACTTGGATATGTTTCCCTCTCGTAAGTATTCTATCCTCCCAAACGTTGTTGATTTTTCCCCCCCAGATTACTAACCCTTGTAAGTATGGCATCCGTTGTACTCATAACACTAGCTGCATCTCGCGTTCATTTCCTGAGACAGCTCATAACACAGAAAGTTATCGAGATAGGTCCACACATCAACGGACTGATTACGCGTTGGATGTACATACCCGGCGATGAGGTCTCGCCCAGTGTTCTGGAAAGCACAAAGCTAATTGCGAACGTGTCGGCTTTATTGAAACTCAGTTGGAATAAAGATTGATCAAGGAGTCATTAATTCTTAAACTCAGAGGATTGAGGAAATCTGACAAATGAACAAGTACACAAGTGCTAAGTGAGGTATTGCAAGATCTTCCATGAAGCCCTCGCTTACAATTTCATAACCGGCCTTGACACATCAGACAAGGTTATTTCCCCTAGTCTTCCTTTTAACTCGATTCCGGAGTGCGATAACAGCATTTTCTACTCGCATTTTCCGATTTTAGAGAATGCTGCCGATGCCAATGCCTTCTCCAGAGCTAACACCGACGGGCTCGGCAGGAGTTGACACTTGTTTCTCAAATTCGACTCCGGCGGTATCAAGACCAAGATTATCGTCTGGCATGGGTTGTGCGACTGCCATAGCCACGAACATCGTGGTCAAAATGGTGATAAGAGTGGATCACATTTTGGGAATGTCTGGACTTCTTAGCCTCCATCAATCACATATTTTTACAATCTTTGGATGATCAACATACTGTCGCTCGGCTTTTGAATCGGTAGAGACCGGAAATGAGGATTCAATTATCGAAAAAAGGGGTTTCATGAATTTCACTTATAAAGTAGCAGCGGTGCTTTGGAATAGAAGCGGAGCGATAAGAAGCGGGCTCCGATGTCATAGACTCGGCGCAACAGCAGGCGTTCCAAATACTTTCGGCATTCTGACCCACAATTATCATATTCGACTACTACGCTGGATGACACGACGCAGTGAGAACTTTCATGGCTATTCTGTAGAGTCCAAGAATTGATTAGTCAGGCAAAGAAATAGGAAACATATACGCCCCAACAAAAATTTTGTTCGTTGCTAGAGGTTTACTGGGATTTTTCGACAGGGTCATTTTCTCCGTTCCCTTCCCCTCGTAGGAATATCTAAGGTATCAAGGTAGGAACAGAGTTTCTCAAAACAAGCAATAGGTCGGTTTTGTTGTTGAGACAAACTGGTTTTTTCTTCATGACTGGAACTTTCCCCTTGAATCGGGAGTCGTGGATTTTTGAGCTAGGTAAAATCACATATTTACGATGTTCTAGCAAGATGCGCGGCTTCTAACTATTCTACACCATCTTGGTTCCGGAAATGCAACAACTTAGATTATATCGAAGCAATGAGGATAATTGGAAAAGGTAACATGATAAACATGGCCTTCCGAGGCTCCAATCATGCTTTTTTCTTGAGTACCCCCCAGATTCTTGGCAAGCAACTATACGGCTCCTCAGCCATCTCAATATCACCCGGGTTCTCCCACTCCCCCGCACCAAGGATTTCCGCCTTGATATCCCGATTCAAAGAACACCCAAGGAATGTGCTCCAAGCAGGATTCAAGCATGCTATTATCGATTAGTATGCTCATCCATATAATCAAAATCACGAGCATGATGTCCAATACTTACCCTGCGCTATTGCCGTTCCAGCATCCTTATTCCTCTCATGCTCCCAAAAGATAAAACAGCCTCCTGGTTTCAACAGTTTCCACACCGCCCTCATTACACTCTTCACATCTCCGACCGCACACAATACTTGAATGCTTAGCACAGTGTCCATACTCCCCTCAGTGATACCCTCATTTAAAAGGATATCACTATCTTCAACGCCACAAGCTAGAAGCTTGTATTTATTCTGTAGCTCAAGCTTCTTGACTCTTGCCGCTATTTCATCTTTATAGCACGGATTGGGGTCAATGGCATATATAAAATCTACCTGAGATGGATCGAAGCGGTGAATTTGATTTCCTGGCCCGGGCCGAGCTCGAGAATTTTACCACGGGCGGAGTGGACAAGGGAGGGGACAACAGTCGTGTTTTCATATGCGATAAAACCGTGCGCTAGGGGGGGAGATTTAGTGTGTGTTTACTTGAGTTATGGGCTGAAAAACTCACAATGGGTGATAAAAAGCTTTGACGTAGCATCATCTCGGATCCGTTGCAGATTCGTAAGCGAGCGAAGGCCATCTTTGTGAAAGGCTTCTTTGAAGGCGTTGTAGTGTACTTTTTTTTACGATGTTGGTTTATTGGTCTGGGTCGCCGTGAGGAGAAAGAGGGGGGCATACACTGTATGGATAACCAAATCATCTGGATTGGCCTGATGATAGCATTTAGGCGGTCTTTGAATACCATGATGCTGCTTCGTCGCATTACTTGTTAGCATTGAATACTAGTGCGTCATATAGAGCGAGAGTTGATATATAGGCTTACCCGATTTCACCGAGAATTTCAAACTTTGGGGAAAAAATTTGGTGTTTGCAAAAGTCACACTACATCAGGTGGTGGGCAGAGGAGTAAATAAGAGAAACAGCCTAAGCGACGTATTTATATGGGGGCGAATGTTCAGTGTAGTATGGATGAGTAAGCCAAAGCTAGATATCTCTCATCTGAGGCATATCTACACTATAGAGTGATGTTACGCTGAAAACATCCTCGAAAAGAGCGCTAGTACCAATTTGTAGTAGAGCTGCCTGCAGCTTACACGCCATGAGTAGGACAGGGAGCGCCATTTTCACAGCCTATCACTGGCCAGTAACCCCGTCGAATGTGTCCAATCAGCAACAGCTATGGATATTGTTACTGTTCATTTTCAACGCAGCGCGAAAATTGAAAAGTTCAGCCTGGCTCGAGACTAGGTTTTGTTGAAAATAGGGACTCGATATGTTTGTCTTCTGGTAAATGTTTGAATTGGGGACGAGACTAACGTGAGCCACCCGGCCGGGAATTACGTTAGCGATTTTGGACAAAGAAGCTAAAATACAACGAAGCAAAAGAGCCTGGAAGAGCGGAATGGCAAGAGATGAAAGCTTTTTGGAGCGGGCTATGTATGCTGCCAAGCGACTCAAGCAATTTGGACACTGTCGGGTTGATTATAGCGTTTTCTTTGCGAGACTTTGTGATAAATTTATCGCGTCCAAGAAGGAGATGCCCGAGGCAGTGCTAAAGGAGAGACATGAGAGAGAGAAAGAACAATACCAATAGGCTCCCTGGTGGTCAGCGGATAGCTACTGGTAGAAGAAGGCAAGAGCGAAGTTATCTGCTTTAGAAAGGGAAGGAATGACTACATGCCTGAGTGTTTAGGGCAGGCACCGTAATGAGGCAGGTGCACTGGATCTTACCGGTACCTACTAGGAAGGAGTAATCATAGTATCCAGGGAAGTTTGTTATATCTGGGCAGGTGGCTTTAGGGTTGCTACCTAATGCGCGAACTTACTAATAGCCCGGATTGAGGCAGTTCGATAAAAGCTTGAATATTTTGGAAACATAAATGGTATACGGGCCTACATACAGGTTTAAGTATCATTTGTTTAAATTGTAACGAGTACAGCAATCAATGGCAAAAGGAAAGGAAATGATTATATGCCCACCGTACGACCAAAATGATATGAAACTGCATGATGATGGTGATGATGGAGGGAAAATTCCCCAGAGAAATAGCTAGCAGTAAATACTACTACTATCAAAGGACAAACGCAATATGAAAGGCACAAAGCAGTGTGGCCTCAGTAGCAAGCACTGCGTACCCGGCGGGAATCTTGCGGGGCAGTGCATATGCCAAGAATTGACCCCTTTCGATTCACTCTCAAGCCAAACAAGCCACGTGAGTAAAATGCCCCAAAATTACTGAGTCAATGATCAGATCTTGCATATCTTATCATATGATATTATAGTCCGGATGTTGGCCAGGTCCGATGCGGGACATTCCGCTATCGGACAACTGAACAGCCCCCCCGACGCGAGACCATCAACCTTGGCCAGCCAAGAATTTATCCCTTGGCAAACGCCTACCAAGACTCTTAAGCCTCCCAAACATCACTCGGCGGCACCGCACGTGCAGAGGAAGCGTTGCTTCGATTTGCTGTGCAGAATGAGCTCGTTAACAATCGATGCAACGCCCACGATACCGACCTGGGCTGTTCTGGAGCTCCTCTTCCAGTCGGAACCCAGGAACTTCCACAGCCAAGATATACCGGAGATTTGACCTCCCAAATCCCTAAGAGAACTCCTTGGCATGCAATGGATTACTGGGAGCTCACCACGGAGATGCTCGTGTCGTACCTCGATCGCTTGGCTTCTTGAATCTACTTAAGAAAGCTGTTTTCTTTTCGTTTTGGACTTCGAGCTTGCATTATCCATCTCAATCGACCTGCCGATCATTATGCGGGGCCTGTCAATCTTAGCAGCCGCATGCACCTTGTCGTGTGCAGCTGCCCAGACCTTCCAACGGCTGGGTGGTTGTCCTGATCTGGGCTGCGTGTTTCCACCGGATCAGTATGTCTTTCAATAACTCCGAGAAATAGACTCAACCGACTCACAAATCACACTCTACCAGGGCGGACTTTCTTCCAGGCCAATTCTTTGATATCCGCCTCGAAGTCCACTCTCCTGTCAATGGCTCCGAGGCACGTGTTGGCGTCCCAGACTCGGACTTCAAATTCACCATCACCAAGAAGGGCAGCCACTCCATCTCTGCTGCCAAATACTTCAAGATCAAGGAGCCAGAGCTAGAAAGGTGGAACTTCACCTGGTATGAGGGTATGTATCCGCTCCACTCTTGGCTCAACTACCAGAAAACTAATGTTCACCCCGTATAGACCTTTTCGCCCAGGATGCAAACCAACCTTCCCTTGTCAATGTCACTGCCAAGGCCTACCGAAGAGTCGCTCTTTACGAGCCAGGAGAGTACGAGGCAACGCTGACATACTACGGTCACGAAAAGACCGTGGCTAACTGGCACGTCCGCGATCTTCCCACGAAGCGACGCGCCAAGAATGTCGTTCTATTCGTCGGTGACGGAATGACAACCAACATGATCACCGCAGCTCGCCTCATGGCCCACCGCAGTATCAACGGCAAATACATGACCAAGATGGCCTTGGACAAGTTCCCGATTCTGGGCCACCAGATGACACACTCTATGGACTCATTTATCACTGATTCCGCCAACTCTGCAACGGCTCTTTACTCGGGCCACAAGACAACCGTCAATGCATTGAACGTGTATGTCGACTCTTCCGAAGATCCCTTCGACGATCCCAAGTTCGAAAATATTGCAGAGGTCTTCCGCCGCCGGTATCCTGATGGTGGTGTTGGCATTGTATCCACTGCTTTCCTGGCCGATGCGACTCCCGCAGGCCTGGCGGCGCATACCAGCGACCGTGGCGAATATGATCATGTTATCAGCGCTTATTATGAGGGTCTAAAGGACTACAAGTGGACGAAGTGGAATGGACCGGATGTTCTGCTCGGTGCCGGTGCTGAGAATTTCCTCACTAGTGAAGACAGCCCTCGCGATTACTACAACCTCTTCTCCGAGAAGGGATACAATGTCGCATGGAACAACACCGCTTTGCACAATGCCCCGAATGACGAGAAACTTCTCGGTGTCTTCCAGACGTCAAATCTGGAAACCTGGCTGGACCGCAACGTTTACCAGGGTAACCTGGTCAATCAGAGCAACTACCCCGACGGTTCGGGTCGGGATGCCGATGACCTGCCCGGACTCAAGGACATGACTCTGAAGGCTATTGATGTGCTGCACGAGCGTCACGGTGATGATGGATTCTTCCTTATGTCCGAAGCTGCCAGCATCGATAAGCAAATGCACACCCTTGACTACGACCGATCGCTTGGTGAGCTTCTGGAGCTTGACGATACTGTCCGTGCCACAATTGAGAAGCTCAAGAGTCTCGGTGAACTCGAGGATACACTGATCATCGTCACCGCCGACCACGGACACGGTTTCGACGTCACCGGCTCTGTTGATACCGACTACATGGATGCGCAGGAGGATGATCGCAGCAAGCGTAACGCCGTGGGTTACTACCACAATTCAGGCCTGTCGCAGTATACCGTTGGCGGTCCTAAGTCTCTGCGATACTCCGAGGGCGTCCACTTCCCTGCTCGATGGGATCCTCGGTATACACTACACGCTGGTGTTGTTGCTTTCCCTGATCACCGGGAGAACTACCAGGTGCACAGCGAGGGCCCACGCACTCCTGCCATCGCAGCCAAGGACAAGAAGAACGGCTACTACGTCAACTACAAGGATGCTGTCACCGGGTTCTTGATTAACGGCACTCTTCCTGTGAGTGCGGACCAGGGTGTCCACTCCTTGACAGACGTACCGGTCTTTGCACAGGGTCCTTGTCAGGAACTCTTCGGAGGCGTGTATAACTCGATTGATATTTTCTTCAATATGGCCGAATGCTTGGGTCTGGCAGAGACTAAGGGCAAGGGGCACAGTGGACACTAGTGTGGAGCAGGAGGTCCCGGGTATTTCCACGCTTCTAGAATGAATAATTTTGTGTTATAGAACAAGTAAATTCTGAATAAATGTGGCGCGAGGCCATGGCTAAAATTTTAATAAACACGGATATAACAATGGAAAAAAAAATCGAATTCATTCTATTAAAATTCACGAACTCAGACCACCATCAAGGTAATAATAAGCCTCCACCAGAACGAAGACCTTTCTTTGTTCTATCGTCAGTTAAATAATACTGAAGAAACCCCACATCGCACTTTTTGGCAGTCTCTAAGCATTTCCGAAAAGCCACATTATAGAAAATGATAGACGGGGCACCCTCAAGAAGAACCTGACACTTCTCTCCAGCGCATTCACGAGCAATCCTCCAAAGAATCCGACGCTGCCCGTCAGTAAGCATACCATTTCGAAATCGCGTCTCAATCTTGCGTTTTTGCGCGTCTGAGCTGGTTATCAATCGGTTTATATTTTCTATAATGGCGTTTGTATCATTCGATAAATGCTCGTAGGTATTGTGTGTATAGACACATCTTAGAATAGCAACACAATGCACATTCAAAGCCTCGATTGCGTTATCTAGTGGCGAGGGTATAAGTTGTCCTGGAGAATCCCCCTTCAAGACGATCTCATGCGGGCGCAATTCTTGAAGAAACCATTCCACAGCTTGCAGTTTCCCACGTCGGATCGCGTACACTAGAGGTGTTCTACCCTGATCATCGAGATCACTGATCCCCGAGCGATAAACCTGATTCAACCATGTCAAGAATACAGTATTCTGATGAACTGCCGCAGCATGCCATATTCCCTCTCCCTGCGGTCCCGAAGCAGTCTGAGACAAATCGACCGCGAAAGTCTTCAATAGATTCGCAACTCGAACTGAGCCTAATTGACTAATTTTGTATTGGTCCAATGGGTCTAGCTCGGCCTTAACTCGGGAGTCGTCTTCTTCCATAAAAGAATCACACCACTCCAGCAGTGCCCAGAAACAATTATCATGACCAAGATTAGGATAGTGCGCCGACACGGCATATTTCAATATTGAGGATGCTTCCCTCCCATCGGACCATATTCTATACGGTTGAATAGGCCCAGGCTCATCGCCGGAATGATTTATCAATACTTCAATCACCTTCCTCGCATCGGCTTTAACAGCCACGCCCAGAAGCGACCATCCATGCTCATTATAACCCACGTGTCCAGACTTGATAATACTTAATTCATAAAGCCAAGTCACGCAGTACTCACAATCGGCAATAATAGCGCCGGTAACTAGATCTGGCTCGGTTACCGTGGCCTCGGGGTCATTGTCTTTGTTCGACTTGGAGTTTTTGTCATTGTTGTACTCGACATCACTGTTCAGGGTACTAGCTCTTTGAAGCACGGTCGCGTGGTCTGGGAAAGATCCTGCGGCGCGACATAGGTAGTCTTTGGAAAGCGGATTCTTCAGGTAATATTGGACTTTTTGGAAAAGTCCCGGATAATCTTCGTCTAGATCTGCGGCTGCTGCCAAGATCGGATTCCGTATTAGAGCTCCGCGGAATGCGCAGAATTCGCCATGTGTGAGTCGGTGGGTTTCTGGTTTGAGGCGCTGGTGTAATTCTGTCCAGAGTGCTGCTAAATCTAGTGAATTTAGATTTGTGAGGTCTTCGTCGGTGTATATCTCCGTTTCTGCCATTATGTGACTACCAGCCTTAGTTGGATCACTGTGGTGAGAGAATTCAGATAGAACTTGGACTGACTCAGATTCCTGCTAAATGAATTCACATTTAAAGGTGGCTCTTTTATCGAGGAAGAACAGTTTAATTAAATATCTCAATCCGCTAGCCTCGACAAAGAAAGTACTAAACAAAAATAGAAAAAAGAAATAGAAAAACAAAGACTCTATATCGTGGCCAAGTGCTCGACACTCGACGCACCATCCTTTGGTGCTTTGTTCGTCGAGTGGCGCACTGCAAAGGCCACCTCCGCGTACCGATTTTGCCAACTCCGTTCTCAGCGTAGAAAATTCATTGTCATCCATGAGTTATCGCATAAAATCCATCGTACTGTATTTTACAACTTCTCATCTTCCGTCTCCAGGTTCTACACAACTTGAAGCCGAGAATGGGATAGATGGGAAAGTTTTCACATCAGGGGTCGAGATAACCAGATCCCAAGTGCCGCTAAAGCAGCCTACTGGGGCAGCTTCGACTTGCCGGCCTTGCGGCTGGCGGCAAGGGCACCCTCCAGGCTGTACTGGGAAGCAATGCCGTTGACACGGTGGGTCGAGTTCAGGTTCTTCACAACGACCATCTGGTAGCAGGTGGCCATACCCTCGCGAGAGGCGATGACGGACCAGGCAAGGAAAAGCTCCCAGATCTATTCATTGTTAGAATGTGGGATGTAAATCAAGGGGTTCGGGAATAGACTCACTCTGTACCATCTGGCTCCGTACTTGGCATTGATGGCCTCGACGTTGCCGACCCAGTTACGGTACCATCTCCAGAGAGTACCGGAGTAGTGAACACCGACAGTGTCAATTCTATGGCTATGTTAGCGACCGGGTAATTTCTTGATTTCATTGAATCGGGACTCGACTCACCCCTTCAGTTCGAATCCAGCTTGCTCGAGGCACTTGACGTAATACCAGAGAGGAGTGGAGGCATCAGCACCGCGGAAAATGTACTTGTTCAGGTACAGACCCCAGATGAAATCCTCGTACTGCCAGGCCTGACGCAGACCAGAGAGCTGGACGTACATGGCACCGTCATCGTTGAGCATATCATAGCATTGGCGGAAGAAAGTAGTGAGTTTACGGATACCGACGTGCTCACCCATCTCGAGCTGGGTGATCTTGTCGTACTTGGTGCGGGGAATATCACGGTAATCCATACAGACGATGCGGCTCTGCTCCTCAGTGACACCGGCCTGACGAAGAGCATCGTTACCCCAAGCAGTTTGGTTCTCAGCGATGGTCAGTCCAGTAACCTTGGCGCCGTAGTTCAGACTGGCGAAGCGGGCCAGGGTACCCCAGCCACAGCCGATGTCCAGCATAGTCTCGCCTTCCTTAAGCTCGATCTTCTCACAGACGATGGCCATCTTGTTATCCTGCAGCTCCTCGAGGGTCTCCTCCTTCTCGGTGTCGGAGATGATTCCGGAAGTGTAGATCATGCGAGGGCCGAGGAACCAGGCGTAGTGGTCGTTACCGCTGTCGTAGTTGGGACGGATCTGCGCATCGTCCTGGGCCTTGGTGTGGAAGAGGACGTCAATGAAGAAAGTGAAGACGATGAACTTGAACAGCTCCGGGGTGAAGGAGAAGTTTGCCCAATCGTGGCGGTATTCCAGGATCTCGAGGATGTCACCGTTGAAGGTGACGTGACCGTCGAGATACATCTCGGCAAAGGTGACCAGGGGAACCTTGTTCTTTCCACTCCATTTGGCCTTGTCCTCCTCACGCTTGAAGGTAATGTAGTGCTCAACGGGACGGCCGGGGAGCTTGACTTTGCTGTTGGTGCGGGGGCTGTAGGTAGAGTGGTAGGTCCAGAAGGCGACCAGGAGAGGGAGAACCAGAACGATAGCGAAGAAGGTCCAGGTCTTCCACCCTTGGCCGATCAGGTAGGTCAGGAAGGCAGGGACACCGATCAAGACGGCAGCGAGGAGGTAGTTGGAGAAGCCCTCATTTCCAGGGCCATCGGCCGGGAGAGGTGCATTGTGAATAGCTGCGGACTTTATGGAAGGGTTAGCAAGCTTGAAATTAGAGAGCTTGAAGGTCAATGGCAAGAAGAAGTGAACTGACGTTGGTCAAGGGAATTCCGCAGTCCTCGCCGGTTGCGAACTCGGCAGGTTTAGCAGCAGGAGTCTTGATGAAATCAATGTCGCTGGTGAGCTCAGCACCTTTAGCACCCATTTTCAATTGATCCCTCGTCCGGAGGAGGGTTCTTGGTACTTGAGGGTTGAGGGTGGTGAGGGAAAGGACGGTGAAGCGAGGGAGCTCCTTTTAAGACGGGAATGTTTGTGGAGGGGTCTGAAACATACTGCCAATGTTCACGCACTTGAGGTTATAGCCACGCATTTGATATCCACTCTCACCACTCTCACCACCCAATTCCTCTGATCTACATTGTTCCGGCCGTGTGTATATTATACCCCCTAGTGGCACCAAGCTAATTCTGTAAATTCTGGTAATTCACCGGCCATCTGTCGATCATAGCTTCACGTGTCTGCTCGGGCCTGTGAGTGGCCCGCGAGTCCCGACTTAACACTGTGGCCAGACCAGAACTTAAGTGGAGTCTCTCAGCTGCCACTTGAATCCAGTTGATAAAGTTCCAGTGTCACTGATGCCTAGCACTGATGCCACTGGGCTTATATGTCCAGCTGCTTTGTCAACAAACAAACAAATCAGAACTCCAAAAATAATAAAAAATACTGACATTGATTCATAAATGAGACTAGGGAAATTACTATATTCAAGAATTATTCAAGTTCTAACCTCGAAAGATATATCACCGCTCTGCACAGTCAAAGACACAAACCGTGCCCTGATCCGTGGATCGTTTCATTTTTAATCTTACGAGCTCATCACCGGCACCCAAATTTGTGGCCACGCGTCCATTTAACTGGATTCTTCAGTCTTGAATTTCGACCAAAAATATTTATATTCACACACTTCAACTTCAAACATCATAGTGTAAATAGAGCTTGACATCCAAGGCTCATTTATAGCAATAGGCCACCTACTAGGCACCTAGGCAGTTGGCAGGTCTTTCAGGTCAACACTCAACATACACAAACCATCATTATAGTGCACCTGGGCAATAAACAACAGTAGAATGCCCATGAAAAATCGCGAACAAAAAAAAAACTAGTATCCCCTCAGGCGGTGCAAAGAAAAAGATTAACCCCAGAAATAGAATAAATCAGTGAACCCAACATTCTCTGCCTCGTTCATTCCCACCTAAATTTACTCCTTAACCTCATCCTCAGGCCAATAATCTCCTTTCCAACCCTTAGGACGATGCTCAAATTTTCCCGGTGGAACACACACATTCAACTCCCCCCTTCGTTGACAAGACCCAGTACAACAGTCACCACTCTCCTCGCAGGATTTATAGTTCTCGGTGCAGGGTAGCTGATACTCCGGTTCGCGGCTGCAAATCCGCCAGTTACTCGTATCGTTGAGCAGGCAAGTATGTCCGGTATAGCAAGTATCCCATTTGGTCTTGCACCAAGGAACACATTTGCGTCTATAACAAAGATGACCTGTGTAGCACTGGGGCTTCTTGGACCGCATACTGCACTCAGGCTTTTCGCCCGGTAACAAGCCGCCTGGTACATCTTCTGCTGTGATTTCATCATCATAATCGCCCCATAATGGCAAAATGACTTTGGGAATATCGCGCCTTGTCACAATCAGATTGGTGTCGTTGGTCCCGTTCCCCTGAGTAGTGTTCTGACCAGGCTCGTGCTTATTGGGCTTCTCTTGATGGAACTCGTCCCATGTGAAATAGCCGGTCGCTGCAACTCCCCCGAAGACAATGAGCATCATAATCCAGTTCCACGCTGATTGTTTGGTGCATACTCGTCCCGGGTCTTTCTTTTTTTTGTCGTTGCTTTTGCCGTTGGGAGGCGGGATCGAGGTATCAGCCAAATCAACATTCACGAAAGCATCCCCGGGCGCGTTTGTGCTACTGGATTCCTGGTGGCTCGGTGATGTATCCTGACCACTAGGGCCTGCCTCAGTAGAGGGACCAGGAATCACGTAACTATCTAGAGTTTTGGTTAGAATGCTATTTTGAATGCGGACTCTGAAAGAAAGAGGAACATACTAGCTGGTGACTTCCAGTGAGGATGCAGTTTCGATGTATCGATAATTTCCATTTTGTCGGCCTGGGAGTTATAGTATAGCTTCAAGTACCTGATCGTTTGAAAGAACGGAGAGATTGTTGGGAAAAAGTAGGAAGGATTTTGGAGAGGATTCGGAGAAGATCTAGACATTTGTAAATTCGAATCTCCGATACAAAACAGGCCCCGATAGAGCTATTATTCTCATTCTGATTTTGTCCAGTACGACCCGTGGAACGGTGATAGTATTCGCGGTAGAAATATTGCCTATTCTGTAAACCACGTCTCTATTAGGAACGGAGCCGATCACACTACTGACACAAGGCCGTCAACTACATAGTTATTTCTTGGCCCTAAATATGGATAATCTTAAGTCATTTAAACCATAAAATACTCTGTATCCAAATTTGTTTAGGGAAGGCTAGTAAGTTCGGGACGCTGTCGCCCTCGGTAGGAACACTGGGTCGATTGCGGCTATGGAGGACCGTTGCCAGGGTAAAAATCTAGATACAAGTTGGAGACGCTGGCCCCTACTGCTTCCAATAAAAGCGCCCGCAAAGATCGCGACCGGATAAATAAAAATCATTTGCTCATAAGTGAAATGAACGTGCTTATTCTTTGACCGCTTGCTTCCTCCATGTCAAAAAGACGACGTAGAACTCCTCCGTTTCCGGGTCCGAGGGCAAATTGCCGCCAGTGGTAGTTCCACTTTGAGCCGTGGAGTGTGATTGCGGATCAAATGGTTTCAGAGTTGGTGCAATATGGACTTGCTCTGGCTCTGGCTCTGGCTCTGGTTGAGGCACTGGGGGAGGGTAAAGCTCTGCCCCGGGAAACAACGGCGGGATGCGCATAGCAGGTCTTTGTCTCTTCAGATCTCCCTCTTTCGCACCTATCCAGGTATATGCGCTCAGTGATGTTGGTTCTGCGACCAAATACATCGACTTTTCTGCGTCGAGGGGAAACTTCCACTGCAGCGCTTGGTGAATGATGGCATCGAGCTGATCTCTCTTTCGCATGATGGTCTCGAATTCAATCACGAGCTCTTCCAGACTAGGGATCGAGTTGAACTGGGTACCCCAGGGTCGTCTGGAGGGATTATTCTGCCAGTGGTGGACGGGCTTGCCCATCTCGTTCGCGCGGGTTCTGCCGGGTCGAAACGGGTCGATGCCGAGGGGGTCGTTATTCTCCCAGTACCACCAGTCCGTGTGGCGAAGAGTGATGGTCAGCTTCTTAGGCGCAATTCTACATGCGCCTCGCAAGCTGCGACCCTCATTACCCATCTGTAGTCCATTCCACATGTCCGACCACCGATCATCTTCCAAGAAAAACTGCTGCGTGAAGAGGTGGATGTGATTCGCCTGCGCTCGTTGTTTCGGCGTCATCTTGCGGAAGTAATCCAGCGGAGATGAGGCATCTCTAACATGTGGTGGAGGTCGATAGAACCAGAAAGTATGCTCATTGATTCCTGGTGGGAGCAGCGATGCCTCGGCGTATATTTGCTGGCATGTCTGGAGGAGACCACTCTCGATACGCTTTGGCTGCTTGTACCCGGGTCGATAGTAGAATGCATTTCGCTGGTAGAGTGACCGCGGGCTGTTATCCAAGGCAATATCCTCGGATTCGAGCGAGAGGGCGTAAATGCGATTGCGGATTTCAGCGGGGATGACGTTAAAGAGAGGGCATGATAGCTGTGGGGCTGCAGGGAGACGCGGGACAAGGTCCGGAATATTCACCGAGCTTCCCCGACGGTGCTTTCTTGAATGTCGACTTGGAGGCATATTGATGGAACTCTCTGACTATTTGATGAATTTAACGCGAGACACGGGAGTTTATGTACCCATGGAAGGTTGAGGGGAACATAGCTGGAGACGATTGATTTGGCCCCCTGGAGCCTAGTTGCCCCACTGTAGCAGCCTGAACTAGAAGGGGTATCCAGTGAGATGGATGAAAGGACGGATACTTGCTTAAGAGCCGCAAGTCCTTGCGAGACGCTTATTGGATATGATTCTGGCCCCGGGAAATAAAATAATTCATATGGTGCATGAAAGACCCGAGAAGAAGAATCAAATTTGCTTTACTGCTCACGAGTAGATTCTATGATTGGTAAATTCGTAAAAGTCCGAAGGTTCGCGCAACACCCTTTTAGCCCTTAGATAAACGCTCAGTTGTCAAAAGCCTCGAGAGTCCTCTTGAACTCTGCATCCACATCGTCAATCGACGGCTCCAGCATCTGGGTGTGGTTCCTAGACAATTGCCCGCGCATCACTTGCTCAAATTGACCCTTCTCCAAATACAAGCTATGCATCATACCGCGAGAAATATAACCAAATCCAGATTTCTTGATCTGAGGAGCCTGTTGAAACATCAAGAATCAGCTTCATGATCATTCCACGGGGCAATATAGTACTCGTATCTTCACGTACCTTATCCTGTCCAGCTTGTAGAGTAGCCATTAGTACCGGGTACATTTCATTGTATGCGCCCATTGTTTGCTCGCCATCGGGGCCCGAGAATGGGTCTGAGGACCCTATGTGATTTCGTGCAGTTTCCGAGGCTTTATGGGCTTGAAAGACGGCATTGGCGATTCTTAACGCGCTCGGGACGCCGCCGTTGAAATGCTGGATAGCACGCTTGGCGACCCTTAGCTTATGGGTAATTTCGTGGATGTTGGAAACGGTCTGGTCGATGTTCGCGATAGCAGCGACATTGGTAACTGTGATAGCTACAATGGCGATGATTTTGGTGATGAGCATGATGAGGGAATCGTAAAGGAAGGAGGGAAAGAGCTAGAGCGATGAAGCTAGAGCGATGAAGCTAGAGCGATGAAGCTAGAGCGATGAGGCTGGAAGGGTCGATGCAGAGGATTAGCCTTGATCGCGATAAACCAGCCGGTCTTAACTCGTTGAATAGGTCAGGACTTCAAGCATTCCTACCGGAATGCAGGGGTGAATAAACACCAGGGCAGCGAGAGGCATGTTAGGTTGATCTGCTTAGGCGCGGGCCGATCCATCCGGGCTCACAGTAATCGATATTCGATCTGTTAATTGGTGTATTTACTTGATCTATTTTTAATATGGGTATCCGAAGCTCGATCTTGATAAATACTGAGGTTTCCCTGCGACCAGTTCGTTATCATATTTATTTACTCATTAACAGTCGTCCTGCCCATAGCAAGCGGAGAATTATTCCGGGTTTATTCACTTCGTATAGCGCATTGAATATACTATACTGGGGATCCCGCTATTATTAGAGTGTATTGAACAAAATTAATTATTGTTTTTTTGTGTATCTCAAGCCAAAGCAGAAAAGGAAAGAAAAAAAGACAGAAACTATCGAGATCGTCAGTGGAGCAATCATCAAGCCCTTGCTTCGTCGCATCACCTTGCATATGAGCCAGCAACATATTCGTTCTCCCAAAACCCCCTTCCGTGGTTCTGGGATTATTTTTCTTGCATCCCCTTTTCTTCGAACTTTTGAACTTGTGCTCGATGGTCGGCGACTCCCATCCCTTTCCAAAGAAAAGTTGCTAGAACAAATTTCGATGATGTCGTCACTGCTTTTGAATCAACTAGAAGACAGTGTTACGCTTGATGAAGCCATGGAAATGTCCAGAACCGCCACGACAGAGCCACGAAATGGACAGGAATTTGTTGAGGTGGTAAAGGAAACCTCGCTTTGCAAGGAGGCAGATGCTAGTAATCTCGGTTTAAACGTGGCGGAGGCGGGCACAGACAACCAATCCCAGATGGTTTCACCTATAGCGATCTGTGGGATGGCTCTTCGACTACCTGGTGGTGTCAGTTTCCCCGAGGAATTCTGGAAGTTTTTAATTGAAAAACGAGACGGCCTATGCGAAGTACCCGAGACCCGTTATGATATAGACTCCTTCTACAATGAATCGAAGCCCCATTCGATCAAGACAAGAAAGGGATATTTCCTGCAGGAAGACCCAGCATGCTTCGATGCGGATTTCTTCTCTATATCTTCACGTGAAGCTGGGCGCATGGACCCTCAACAGCGACAGCTGCTCGAAGTGGTATGGGAGTGTCTTGAGAGCGCTGGGGAGGTAAAATGGCGAGGGAAAGAAGTCGGTTGTTTTGTTGGGGTCTATGGGGAAGATTGGCTAGAACTTGCTAGCAAAGATCCCCAAGGTATCGATCGCTATCATGTCTTGGGAACTGGGCAGTTTGCGCTGTCTAACCGTATATCTTACGAGTTTGATTTTCAAGGACCAAGGTATGTCTTGGGAATCCCTCTTCATATCATCAGGAACTGATTCTTATTCGTTGCTCAAAGCATGACACTTCAAACTGGCTGTTCTTCCTCTATGGTCGGTCTCCATGAAGCTTGTCAAGCTATCTATTCAGGCGAATGTTCTTCAGCTATCGTTGCTGGAACGAATCTAATTTTTGCTCCCACGATGACAACAACTATGTCAGAGAATATGGTCTTATCTCCGAGTGGAATGTGCAGAACCTTTGACGAGAAGGCTGATGGGTACGGCAGAGGAGAGGCAATCAATGCAATTCTGATAAAGCCCCTGGACGAGGCTATTCGAAACAATGATCCAATCAGAGCCGTGATTCGAGCTACGTCTACAAATTGTGATGGGAAAACATCCAGCATTACCACGCCGGGATCACTGTCCCAGGAACGTCTCATTAGGAAAGCATACAAAAAGGCACATATCGATAACATCTCCCAAACCGCATTTTTCGAGTGTCATGGAACCGGAACAACGATAGGCGATACAGCAGAGGCATCCGTAGTTGCTAAGCTATTTGGAACGGACGGGACACTTCTGGGTTCTGTATGTGGCCATGTGTGACTTCCCTTTTGCAGAACCGCTAACACGCCTAGGTGAAACCCAACGTCGGTCATTCAGAGGGAGCTTCTGGAATAACAAGCGTCATAAAAGCTGTTCTTTCTTTGGAAAACAGAACGATACCACCCAACATCTTTTTCGACTCTCCAAACCCGAACATCCCATTCAAGGAGGCTAATCTTCATGTTCCAACTTCTGCTCTCTCCTGGCCAAAGGAGCGCAAGGAGCGCGCGAGTGTTAACTGCTTTGGGATTGGTGGAGCAAATGCACATGCTGTCCTGGATTCTCGAAGGTCTTTTTTTTCAGGACCAAGTTTAATTGGTGAGCCGATAAGACGGCACCCCGACGGATCGCGTTTGTTAGTGATCTCGGCCAAGAGCGCCGATTCTCTCCAGCAACGTATACGAGGAATCACCAACTACGCGAGTGAGAACCCGGAATCTCTTCATGACCTGGCATTCACGCTGTCTTCACGTCGGGAACATTTGAAGCATCGCGCCTTCGCCGTGGCAGTACCGAATAAGCCACTCGACGAGTCGAAATTCCAAACAGGTCGGACGAGAAGCTCCAAGCTCATCTTTGTATTCACCGGCCAAGGTGCCCAATGGGCTGGGATGGGAAGGGATCTAATCCAGCAATTTGATACCTTCAGAGACGACATTGTGGAGTTCGAACGGGAACTACAATGCCTTCAAAACCCCCCTTCGTGGAGTCTCCAAGGTGAGTGTTCCGTCCAGACCGAAACCGAAGTGAAATAATTCTGACGACTATTTAGACGAGCTATCGAATTCAAATAGCCTTGTCAACAGATCGGAACTTTCGCAGCCTCTTTGCACTGTCATTCAGATTGGTTTGGTAAATCTCCTTCGCCGCATGGGGGTTCGACCGTCATCCGTGGTCGGACATTCTAGCGGAGAAATCGCAGCAGCCTATGCATCGGGAGCGATAACTGCCAAGTCTGCGCTGATGATTGCTTATTACCGTGGAAAGGCGACCACGTTGTGTGAGGGAAAAGGTGCCATGATCGCAGTTGGTGTTGGACGACGGGATGTTTCAGCGTATCTTGAAGAGAATATCGTTCTAGCGTGCGACAACAGCCCTCAAAGTGTGACACTATCTGGGGACATCGATTCTATTCGTCAAATGAGCGAAAAGATCAAGAACAAATTACCAGATGTTCTGTGCCGGCAATTGAAGGTCAATACTGCATATCACTCTCGTGAGTCCTCATTCCATTAACCTCTAGCTGTTGAATTACTGACATCGAGCTAGATCATATGGTGCAACCAGGCAGGATCTATGAAGAGCAGATCCTTCCACACATTGAGTCAAACACTACCATGCTCCCTCTTTTTTTCAACGGTTACGTCGCAAGCAGTGCAAGATCCGAAGGAGCTAGATGCCGCGTATTGGCGACGCAATTTGCAGTCACCGGTCCTGTTTAACGATGCAGTCAAATCGATTCTGGCCGATCCGGAAAATGGACAATCATTCATTGAAGTCGGTCCGCACTCTGCTCTCTCCGGTCCTCTGCGTCAAATATTCAACGCATCGTCACTCAAGACAGACCCCGTTTATATTCCGACATTAACGCGCCATGCCGACGATGCACGATCGCAATTGCTTTATACGGTCGGATCTGCCTATCTGTTGGGAGAAACCGTCAATTTCCAAGAGACGAATGGCGATGGTGACACGTTGACGAACCTACCTTCATATCCCTGGCAGCATACCGGACGCCATTGGCATCAAAGTCGATTGGCCACTCAGTGGAGAAAGAGGGAATTTCCTCATCATGAGATCCTTGGTGCACGTGTTGTGGAGTCTTCAAATTTGGAGCCCTCTTGGAGAAATTTGCTGCACCTGGAAGATGTTCCTTGGATTTGGGACCATGTTTTGCAAGGAAATGTGGTGTTTCCAGCCGCAGGTTATGTCGCCATGGCAGGCGAGGCGGTTCTACAGCTTCACCCGGATGTGGAAGATTATTCGATCAAAGATTTGGTGCTGAAGTCACCTCTTCTGTTGAAAGATGAACAGGTCACTGAAATAATCACAACACTCAGACCTGTCAAAATCAACGACCTTGTGGACTCGGAGTGGTTTACCTTCACCATAGTAGCCCGTGATGGCGTCGATTGGACAAAGCATTGCCAAGGACAAGTGCGACCGCATTTTGACTTCCCACCAGCCACAAAAGACCTCAAACGTCGTCTCCGACCCGTGGACTCTGATCAGTGGTATCGAGCTCTGGATAGGCATGGTTTGAGCTACGGTAAAACATTTCAAGGGCTGGAGGATATCGCAGCGGATCCAGTTGAACTTGAAGCAGATGCGACCGTGAACAATCGAGTTGAATCTTGCCCAAGCAGATATACCCTTCATCCCACTCTCATTGATCAATGTTTGCAACTTATGAGTGTGGCGCTCACGAATGGACTTTCCCGCCGGATTGATCGACTTGCTATTCCTGCTGCTATTGGCGATGTCTATATTGGTGGCAATTCCTCAGTAATGCGCGCTGAGTCTCAACTAGGCAAAAGTCAAATCGGCTCCATGACTGGAAACTCAATCTTGTTGTCAGATGATGGCAAAATTCTCCTCGCATTAAATAGGGCTGCTTTCTTTACTGTACCGGATAATGACCTGAATGATGCAAAAATCCCCTTGACGGCGGATCTTAGATGGACACCCAATATTGGCTTGACACCGCCTGATATGTGGCTCCCAACCCCGGTCGCATCTGGGCCACAGGTTGAAGCTTTCAAGGACTTTGCGAACATCAGCTTTTTGTATATCCTGGAAACAGCGGACATTATAAGCGAGTTGTCCCCTTGGGATTCGCACATGAGCCGTTACAAAGACTGGATACTGTCCGAAGCTTCGAAGATACGACATGGACATTATGCCTTTTTCGATCAAAGCAAGATATGGGCTCGAGCAGAATCCAAGGAAAGACGAAAGATCATTAAAGATCTTTCCTCACGATGGGACATTGATGGGGAATACACTGGCTGGCCTTCATGTGCCAGTGCGATCTTTGAAAATTGCGTTGAGCTGATGAATGGAACCCAAAGCCCGTTGGATCTACTGATGGATGAAAAAAGGCTCGAAAGGCTTTATAAATCAGCCAGTACCCCGGGTTGCTGGAGCGAACCAATTAGGCTCATGGGTCTTGAAAATCCCAAAATGCGCATTTTGGAGATTGGCGGTGGAACTGGGTCTTACACTCGAAAGGTTCTTGAAGACCTTGAATCTTCGGATGGCGTGCATCTCTATTCAAAATACGTCTTTACGGATATATCACCAGGTTTCACAATCGCAGGACAAGAAGAGTTCGGGTGCAAGAAGAACATGGAATTCAAGGTTCTAGATATTTCGCAAAAAGTCGAAAAGCAAGGGTTCGAACCTCACTCTTTTGACCTTGTGATTGCTTCAAATGTTGGTATTTTCCAGTTATGCTTTCTTATATCTCTCGCTTACATGGATTATAGGTTCTCCATGCCACGCCATCACTCAGAGAGTCGTTACAGAACGTGCATCAGCTTTTGGCAGCAACTGGAAAATTGATTTTACATGAGTTGTCTCCCGAAACCCGGGCTATTAACTATGCCATGGTGAGCATTGCGGCTTGAATTGCAAGATATATTTTCATTGGTACTAATGAATATTAAGGGTATTCTACCGGGTTGGTGGATTGGTGCCAATGACAATCGGATTGATATGCCATATGTTTCCCCCGATCGGTGGGACTTTGAGCTTCGTGCTGCTGGGCTTACGGGCAACGAAACATACGGCTACGACATGGAACCGCCCTTTCATCTCAACCACACAATCATATCTGGGATTGCCAGTGAGCAGCAGAACAAAGTGGTAACCCTGGTGACAAGCAGCCTTCCTTCTCCGTGGATCGCAGAAGTTACCTCTCGCTTTCGTGAGAATGGATACCTCGTCAACATGAGCACATTGAATGAAATACCACCGGATGGCGAGGACCTTGTCTTCATGCTGGATCTCGATGAGTCTTTCGTGTATAACCTGGATGAGCCTACATTTCTTCTACTCCAGGAGTTCATGCTCAACATGACCGGGCGGGGCCTCTGGGTAACACGTTCGACACAACTGAGCTGTCAAGATCCACGTTATGGTCTCGTACATGGATTTGCCCGTACTCTCAGAATTGAACGCGAGCTGGATCTCTCTACATTCGAGACTGATGTTTGTGATGATGAGTCTGCTCACGCACTATATCGTGTCTTTGACAAGATCAAATGCTCACGTGGTGTCGAGGAGCTAGATCCGGACTATGAGTTTTCCTATCAGGATCGAGTAACTCATGTCGGTCGATGCCACTGGTCTCCTCCGCGCGAAAATGAAGGTTCTGTATCCAGCACAGACAGTGAAACATTTATCAAGCTGGATGTAGGCACGCATGGCCTGCTTGACACACTACACTGGTCCCGCGTAGAGGAGACAGAGCTCGCAGACGATGAAGTCGAGATTGAAGTCCGATATGTCGGCTTAAACTTTCGGGTATTAAATCACATATCCTTTGGTCATTCTATAAGTACTAACTATCCCACAGGATATTTTGGTGGCTTTAGGCCTCGTCGGCGACAAAAAAGAGCTCGGTTTAGAGGGGAGCGGCATCATTCGGCGAATTGGATCCAAAGTGCACGAATTTACGCCTGGAGACAGAATCGTTACATTTTACCCAGGGATGTTTCAATCACGGATCGTCACAGCTCCTGCGTGGTGTTTTAAAATACCAGACAGCATTTCCCTTGACCAGGCGGCGACCATGCCTAGTGTATATGCTACTGCAATTCATTCATTGATAGAGCTCTGTGCCTTGAAGAAGGGAAATGTGAGGTTTCCTTCTGACAATTGACTTAGCCCTGACTGACGTTTCTATGAAGACCGTTTTGATTCATTCCGCTTGTGGAGGTGTTGGCCTTGCATCCATACAGATTTGCCAACTCATTGGTGCAGAGGTACTTGATTGTTTTGCATGCTTGAAGACATAGAGCTAATCGCGCTGTAGGTTTTTGCAACAGTGGGAAATGATGAAAAGGTGGATTATCTGGTAAATCGCTTCGCCATACCACGCAATCGAATTTTCTCTTCTAGGTCGAAAGAATTCCAGCCACAGATCCTGTGTGAGACGGATGGGCGTGGTGTTGACATCGTCCTCAACTCCCTGGCGGGAGAACTTCTTCACGCATCGTGGGGATGTGTTGCCAAGCGTGGGAAAATGATTGAGCTGGGGAAGAGGGATTTCCTTACGAATGGCAGGCTGAGCATGGGAGCATTCAGTGACAACCGGACTTTCTTCGGCGTTGATATTCTTTCACTTTGTAAAGAAGACCCAGAATACATCAAGGACCTCTGCTCAAAAACTATGGACTGGATTAATGACGGTAAAGTTGAGCCCATCCAACCTGTGAAGACTTTTGTCGCAACCGAGATAAAGGAGGCATTCCGATATATGCAGCAGGGCGTTCACATGGGCAAGATTCTGGTCGAGCTTCCGTCCAGCTCCGACAATATAGATTTTGCGAGAAATCTGCAGCATTCTAGTTTTTCGCGACAGAACTCATACCTCTTGGTCGGTGGTTTGGGAGGCCTAGGCCGTTCTATTTCATCATGGATGGTTGAAAATGGTGCACGCTATCTGGTTTACTTATCGCGTACCGCAGGGGAATCAAAGGAAGACCAATACTTCCTCGAGGAGCTCAGAATTCAGGGCGTCAAGCCTATCTGTGTTGCAGGGATGTGTCACGTCGCGCCGACGTTGAGTATGCCGTGTCGAAGTGCCTGAAGCCACTTGCAGGGGTACTTCAAATGTCAATGGCCCTTAGTGTAAGCGATGTTACCCCTAGCACTCGCAAGCTGAAATCTAATCATATCGTCTCTCTTATAGGATCGGACTTTCAGCAAAATGACTTTTGATGAATGGAGAATTTCCCTCGCCCCAAAGGTTGAAGGGTCATTTAACCTGCACAATGCGACATTAAACCAACACCTAGACTTCTTTGTCGTCTTCAGTTCTACTGGCGGAATATGCGGGAACAAGGGTCAAGCCAATTATGCCGCTGCAAACACCTTTTTGGACAGCTTTGCCCTGTATCGCCGGAATTTGGGCTTGCCATGCTCATCGCTTGTACTGGGCCCTGTAGAGGATATCGGGTTTGTCAGTCGCAATACGAATATTTTAAGTCTGGCACGCTCGTATGGGATGCATCTTTTGAATGAATCAGAAGTGATAAGAGGGCTCGAAATTGCTATTGATCGTTCTCGATCGAACTTGACGAGCCCTACCATCCTCGGGCTGAAGAAAGCCAAGCCGACTTCCGATCCTCATGTTCGCCCTCTCGGGAATCGAGATATACGTTTTTCCCTCTATTACAACATGGAAAAAGTAGCATCGGCGCAGGTGGAAGGATCTAGTGACCGACTGCGAGGACTGTTGGTCAAGCTTGAACAAGATCCAGGTCTTCTTGACGAGCACGAAACCCAGACTATTATCTGTGGAGAGCTAGCGAACTTGGTCACACAGCACATGCCAAATACGCAAAATCTCGACGACGATGAGGTTTCCAAGATTGCCATTGACTCGCTCATGTCCATCGAGATCCGGGGTTGGGTACGTCGCAATCTAAGCCTGGAGATTAGCTTGGCTGAAATAACAAAAGTGGGCACTATCGGACATCTCGGAAGTGTAGTTATAGAACATCTTCGAGTGAAGTACTGTCCTCAGGCTGACTAAGAACTTCATGTTTCATCTGAGCAATTTTGATGTTGAATTTCACTGTTGAAAATGAGCGTGAATTATATTACTGCCCACCATCTGCACCGGTTCCAAAGATTGTAAACTCTGTACTAGAAGCAAAAAAACGGCACCCGAACAGACAACTTCCAGGGCTCAAAGGATTGCCAATGTGTGATTACCTAGGTACTAGTAATATATAGTAGCGGGCTGCTAGGCAGCAAGTACCTTTGCAGCAGGCCAATACTACCTAGGTACAGGGAGCTCCAAGGATATTCATGGAGGAAGCCCCTGAACTTGTGAAGAGATCAATTTAGATGGCAGGGAACCGTTGTCCATCGCAAAGGAGCAACTTGAAGGAGTTAGCAGAGCCATGAATATGTTTGGGTATAGGAATAGCGCGGTACGGCGTAGTAGATGCAATGGCCAGATTTCTTGGGACAACATATTCAATAGTTCAATACAGTTAAACTCATGTTAATCCTTATCGAAATTATCTATCCACGATTCGAGGCTTCGCGCCTGTCTTGTAATTCGTCTCCGAACAAACGACTCGAAGTCATGGCCAGCCAAAGACAGCCCAATGGGGCCATCCGTATGCTTGAGGTCATTTGTTCGCGTGCAATCAATCTCCCAACCCCGAGAAACATGGTGAATGATATCATTTGCATGATTCGCAAAATGAACGTTCCTCTTCACCCTAACATGAGCCGCTTTCTCGACCAACTTCCGAGGCGCGTATTTCCGCAGCTGCGCGATGAATTGCCCAAAAGTGGTCGGTACATACAGCTGGGCACCCGCTTGTACAATTCCTGTCGACCCGATGGCCAGATGAAACAGGCAGGCATTAGCAGCAATATCCACTGGGATCTCGTCGACGATTAGATCTTGTGGCAGTGAATCCAGATCACCAAGTTTCCGACGCTCGCCTCCTTCGAAGAGAAGCTGGAAGAATGTGTGGACTGGAATAGCCCCTTCTGGTCCGTAACATGAATAGGGATGTTGAATAGCTGGCCCTATATTTGTCGGTCGGACGATGAGAATAGGGAACTTGAAGGTAGTCTCCATGCCGAGAAGGATCTGCTCGGCCAGATATTTCGACTGCGAGTACGGCGCAAGAAAATTCTCGGCATGTGGAGAATGGCCAGTAGACAGTATATCTTCAAGTTGTTTCTCAGCTGGCTCTTCATCGGGTGAAGATTTATTTGCATTTTCAAGTACAACTCCTCCGGGTAAAAAGCTTTGGGTCGAAACAGTAGAAATATGCAGAAAGGCTTTAATCCTGTTGAAGGAACTCAGGAGACGTGCAAGCTCCACAACGGGCACACAATTGACTCGAACTGACTCGGCGAGGTTTTGGAAGAAAGAAAGCTTCGCGGCCGAATGCATCACCACTGTAACCTCTTTCTGTAAAATCTCCAGCTCGTCCGAGGTAAGCCCCAGTTTAGGCTGAGTGATATCTCCAGTTAAACATTGGACTTTGCCCGTATCGAGAATATCTTCGATTTGTTCTGGCATGGACGCTTCCCATTTTGTCATTGCATCGCGCATCGAGCCTCGACATAGCACATATATTTTACTCGTCGGTAGTTGAACGGCAAGCTTGTATAGCAAGCAGCCGCCCAGGTTACCAGTGGCTCCTGTAAGAAAGACCACCTGGTCTCGATACCAGTCGGAGGGCTCCGGTAGAACAGTCATGGTTGTGTTTGATCATACGAAATTTGTCCGCGAGAAAATTTTGATTCTGAGGGTGCCGCGGGTGGAAGGAATGGATGTGTCGGAAGATCGTCCACCCCTTGCGTCAGATGCATCCATCTAATGAAAGATTTCCAAGGTCACTGCATGGAACTGCAGCGATATTTTGGTTCCCACCGGGATAAAGCAGATGATAACATGCAACTGGCGCAGGCTACAAAAATAATTCAGCCCTTCAACGTGCTAATTTGGATTTCATTTCACGTTAACGTTATATCAGAAAAGGAAAGACACCAACATCGTAACCAAAAACAATAAACTAAGCAGCCCGCCTCTCCCTCCCACTAATCAAATAAAGCGCAGCACGCACATCAATAAGCGGATCATCCGAAGACTCAACACCCTGCACTCGAGGCACAGGATCAAAAATGACCCTCTTTTGCTCCGCAGCATTATCATCCTTCACCGATTCAAGACTAATCGTACCCAGGGTAACAATCTTCCTACTCTCCGGCCAACGAACAGTACAATTATCCGTAACATCCCCCTCCTCCGCAATCTGCGCCACAAGATCAAAAGCTGGTGCTAGAGGAAGTGCATCCCGAATCTGCTCATAAAGATAACCCGCTCCTAAACCCTCCACCTGTCCGCTCTCGAGATGTGCCGCACCACCCGGGGCACGATTCGATACCGAATGAACGTAACCGTCCCATCGGCAGCGATGAGTTTGAAGGCATTCACGCCGTAGTAATTCTCCGTCGCAAAACTGACTGGAAATGGTTTGGGCGCTTCGACGAATGCTTTCGCTGAGGGGAAGGCCGCTAAATGCTCTACTATCGAGCCATTTGCCAAGGCCTTGAAAAAGGCCAGGGCATCGGGTCCGTCTTTTGCGGGAAAAAAGGGTGTCGAGTGGGTGATTATATCGGTGTGGACACGTCGAGGTGATTCGGCGAGAACAAATCTTATTGCCAGGCCTCGCGGGTTCCCGTTCGGATCGGTGTCTGGTAATTCTGGGAGACCTGTTGAGCTTGAGAAGCGGGCTAAGATGGGCGTCTTGCGTTGGAAGTGTGGGGCTGATGATAGGGCTGATGCTCTGGGGTTGGGGTGAATGATCCTTCTAGGAGGATGCCCTTTGCATGCGCTAATTTCTTGTTAGATTGAATTGTGTACAGGTGTATTTGGGCTATATCCCATACCTGGTCTGAAACCTGGGTGAGGACCAAAGAATTTATGAAGTGTGTCGACGAGTTGGGCGCCGACGTCAACGGTTACGGGATCAGATGGAAGGGGCATGTTTATTTTGATAGACCTCAATAGAGAATTATTCACAGCTAATGCAATTCAGGTATTGAATACGAGATGGGAGTTGACTTTATATTTACAGCGATGGTTCATAGACATCGAATTGCGACATTCAAACGACATACATGCTAGCTTGACCGACAAAGAGTCTGACCATGCAGGTAAGCAGCCATACACTGTAGACTCGATTGAGGCTTACTATAAGAGGACATTGATTGGCCAAAGAAATTATATGGCATTAATTATCCTGAGAACTCGGAGCTCGCAAAAATGAGGGGCAGCGAAAGGTTAAACGCTACAGCATTTACGAGTTAATTGCATTTCAAGAGGCTCGTTCTCCAACTCCACTGGAGGAAACACAAGAGCACAGAGAGATAAAACTTCTCTAAATGCGCTCATAAGTAAGGAAAATGTCAGTTTTCCGGTGTGTCAAAATAGATTGCATCACCGGATCCAAACTGGTCGAATGTGCATCCCCGCGATATCGACGAATGGAGCTCATTGGCGATAAAATGGAAGCCAAGGCGCGAAGCTGGAATTACTGCAGAGACAAATGCTATTTTTGAACGAGAACAAGGCCTTGGTCAGTCGGGTGAAACTAAGCGAGCAAATGAACGAACAAAGAACGGCTATTCTGCTAGTGAAAATGACGACTTGACTAAATCGCCATGTCTTATATCACTTGCCCAGAAATAGCTCGGAGTAAAGTCCTAGTTTCCTATATGTAAAAGTTGTCAAACTAAGGCTTCTCTATGAACTATCTCTAAGCGATGCCTCGGTGTTGAGATAATGTATACTTCGATTAGGAAGTCGAAGAGACTTCAAATGAATGACACGAAGATATTTGTAACAAAACTCATAGCCATCACTTTTGAAAGGTTCACAAAATTACCATAAGGGAGCCGATCAGAATTGCAGCAGCCAAAGAGCCCAGACCAAGCCAGCCACCAACAATGACAGCAGCCGGGTTCACCATATGGGCAGCGGCACCTTTGGAGGTAGATGTTGCGCCAGTCCCTCCAGCACTGACAGTTGCAGTGCCCCCCACCTGTCCGATGAGGGAGTTGCAGTCCTTCGGAGTGCCAAACGGTTCGTGGATCTGTGCCTGACCATCGAAGTTGCAAGCGTTCTCTGTCTTGTTCTGGCTCAGATAATAGTTGTTTATGACCAAGGAAAGCTGTTCCTTGGGGCTGCAAGCGCTAGAGGCGCCATAATGACCGGTCGTAGCGTTATGAGCTATGTCATCGCAAATACCATTCCCGAAGCCACAGACCAGGCCGAAAAGCGTGTGATAATCCTTAAGGTCCACGGCATCTTTGACGACACATTCGAAGGTTCCCATCAAGCAGTCACAAAAGTCACCGTTGGGAGACGGAGGTAGCGGACTCGATTGCGCCAGCCAATTGACGTTGGCGGTCGGGCATTCCTGCGCGGAATTGGAGGGACTGTAGCTAGCCTTGTTGACGCCAGTTGCGGTCGCGCTTTGGATTTGCTTTGAAAGTGACGCGAAGTCGATTCCGGGGGTTGCGGAGCTGCCCGATGCAGAGACGAGGCCATAACCTTCACCTCCACTAACATCAAAGTACATGTAGACAATTCCGCCGCTCCAAACATCGTTCATTTTGTCACTGTACAAGACAGGGATATCTTGGAAGCTTCGGGGACCGCTGGTGACACATCCGTACTCAGAGAAAAATATCGGGATGGAGTAGTTCCTGTACTGATCGGTTCGCTCTTCGTAACCAGACGAGGAGAAAGTCTTGTCACCGCACCATTCGTAGATGTTGTAACCGTAGAAGTCAATGGCACTGTCCTGGTCTCCACAATTCAGGTAGGCCGACATGTCCTGGCGGATATCCTGCCGATCTGTTGCCGCGTAGCCGATTCCCAGAGATTTGCGGTAATTCTTCTTCTTGATGTATGCCTTCATGTCTCGCGCTGCGGCTTTGACAAAGGCAACCGAGGCTGTCTGGTTAGGCTGGTTGACAACCTCGTTTCCAGCAAAGAACCCTATAACATTGTCGTAATTGTGCAGAGAATCTATGACAGATGTGTACCGGATGTATTGATCGAAATTCCACGAGGGTTCATCCGCTTTAATCGACTCGTCCGGAGAGGAGAGGTCACTGATGACATAGATTCCAGCATCGGCAAGCTTCTGCATGCAATCATCATGGTTCTTGGATGGGTCGATGGCATAGGTACGGATGAGGTTAGTGCGCAATTGCTGGAGGTAGACGATATCGCGCTGACATTGATCGCCGTTCGCCAAGGGGTCGATGTAGATTTCTTTGCTGGTCTCGCCGGTTCCCTTGGCGCCCCCACCGCTGTAGTTCTCTATCCACTCGGGATTAGAATTGACTCCAAAAGGTGAGAGGGTGATACGACTCTCACTCACCCTGATAGGCAATGCCTCGAATGAAGCTGGTGAAAAGTGCTTGAGCAAAGAGTCAGGAATTCGAGGGACGCGGAGCTCACAATTGAGTGTCGTTGTTGGAATAAAAGAACTTCGAGCCCTATGAGGGATCAGATGCCAATGTCAGAATCTAACATATCCAACGATCCAATGTAATATAAAGCAAAGGAATAACATGCCTTGATTTCGACGTTGGGGACAGAGGCAGCCGCGCATCCTGCCAAAAGGGAAAGTCCCACGATACGGGAAATCGAGATTCGCATGTTGAGAGGAAACAGAATGAAATTGAGATGTAAGATAAACAGATGCAGAGATGTGTAGAAGGGAACTTGGAATGGAGGAGAGGAGTTGTCGAAGAGAAGTCGAAGAGAAGACTCCGCGAGGTCGAGGGGAAGAAGCCTGAAGGGCAGGCACAACCGCGAAGGTACTTCCTCCAGTATGCACCTTCCCATACTAAACAAAGTACCGCAGTACTACTAACTAGTATATACTAGTATAACCATACCATACAACCCATCACATAACTACTACTAGCATGGAAATGTTTTGAATCATTGATCGAACTTCGAATTCTTAATTGATACTGAAGCTGGGCTCTACCGTGACTAGAGTAGGTTGATCTATAGATAATCCGCTGGCATGGGATGAACAAACTATACCATCTCTCCTTGTAGAAGCGTAAACCTGATTCACTGCTAGTAGTAGTTAGCGATTTTGTCGACAGTGCCATGGTTCCAAGGTTCAAGTTTCTCCCGCAAATTTTCTGTTAGAGCTGGATGTAATTCCAATCATTGTGGTTATCTGAATTGAACTTGAATAAGCATTCCGTTAGTGAGAATCCCCACGAAGGGTATATTATTCCTTTAACCAGGCATTGTGACGGATCACAATTCTCTCGGGATTTACTTCTGAGTACGAGGCCTGCATCCAGGGTCAGCAACTCAAGGGCGCGCGAAAGCCAGGCAATATTATACTGCCAATAGTAGGGCCAATATCGAATTTGACGCCTTGGCTGTAAGTACGAGAGCGACATGTTTTGTTTGTTTCCTGACAAAGCTTGCCGGATGTGTAAATTCATTGTTACCCACCAGCCGATGGGTATTCCCTCTTGGCTATTCCAAGCCCAAGCCCTCGAAACGAAGGATATGAAGTTTCCCCGACCTTCCCATAAACCTGTGCCAAACTCGCATGTAAGAGGAGATTTATCTTGGCACTGGTAGTCCAATTTCCCAATCTTCGAGCAGTCGCAATACTTCCTTAAACGGAACAGGTTTGGTAAGGAATATGTTCACCCCTGAGTCCAATGCTTGAGACTCGTCGCGCGAGCTACTGAGTCCAGTAAAAGCGATAATCTTGGCTGGAATGCAGCCATCCCGCTCTTTTTCAATCGCACGTATGGCGCGAGTTGCTTCGAACCCGTTCATCACGGGCATAGACATGTCCATGAAAACGAGATCATACCCCAGCAACATCTGTTCAAATAGGATGACGGCTTCTCTGCCATTCTGTGCTGTATCTACAGCCGTGATATCACATTTTTTCATGAAAGCCCTTATAAGCCGAAGGTTAATGTCATTGTCATCAACCAGCAGTACCCGAGGATTGCTTTGGGCTCTAGATGAGGCGTCCATATGACCCGAGTCCCTGGGCAAGGAGGTGGAGGAGGTGGAGGAAATGGAAGAAGGTGCTTCAGGGCTGGAAGAGTCGCTTCCAGATGCGAGGTGAAGGGAACCTTCTGTATCTGGAGATTGGCCAGAAGTATTACGATTCGCAGGATCCAGGCCGTAGTTGGAACATGGCATGGGATCAGATGATCGAGTACCCTGTGTGTCAAGCCTTTCAGACGACGTCGTCGCGGAGCTCCCAGTTGAGGGAGTCGTATCTGAGGGTCGTTTTCGTTCAAGGTGCACAAGCTTTTGTTCAGAAGGATTCGAACACGGGGCAGGTGATGTCGAGTGTGCTGGCTTTGGATAAAGGCAATTTAAGATTCCCTGGCAAGATTCTGTGGGCCACATGGTCGCCGAATGACCACCATAGAATCAGCAATGTGCGGCCATTGTGTTCTAATATCGCTCGAGCTGCCTATGCAGTTTCGAAATATAAGCATTCGTGGAAATGCGGAGTGCAAATGCGGAAATCCTTCTGCAGACAGATCACTTTCGTTTGCAAGTAAAAGATCGATAGGCTCATTGGCGGACCAGGGCACTAGCCTCAAGCCATACCAGTCTGTAATATAGTGGGCAATTGAAGACCAGAAAGAATACTCGCGAAGATGGGAAAGATCTATCCCCCATATGGCCGCACTCTTCTCGGTCAAGTCCAGCTGACGCAGTTGAGAGGGCGCTGTAATTGGCTCCTGTTCCGGCTTCTCCACACCAGGCGTCGATGACCGGCTTTTTTCCCCTACTGGACGCTCGAGGGGGAATTGTCACCTTGACAGTGGTGCCTTCGCCGACTCGACTTCTTATTCTGATGTTTCCATTGAGCGTTCTCACAATTTCGCGAACAATGGATAGACCGAGGCCAGTGCCTACTGAAAGTGTGTCTTCCTGCGCGAATGGGGTGTATAGACGTGTCTGAAGAAACTCATTTGAGATGCCCTTACCTGTATCTGAAACGGTCAACGTCACTACGTCCTCAAGGCCTTGGCGCCGAGAGCGGCCCTTTGAGTTATCGGTCGCCTGGATTGAAACAGATATCTGGCCCCTTTTGGTATATTTCAGTGAGTTTCCGAGGAGATTCATGATTAAACGCCTCATTGAGCCGGGCTGGACATTGTAAAACCAGTCATTATCACTAATATTGACAATGACCTCCACACCTGAATTGGTGCAAGCTTGGATGTTCTTTGTGGGTGATGTAGATGAGGTGAATGATGCAGTATGTGACTCGCCAATGGGATGGTTTGTTGTCGTTGTTGATTTTTGGATGTTGGAATGCCCCAAGCACACACTATCCACAACTTCCTCTGTCAAAATCGCAACGTTGGTTGAAATAAATGGATCCATCCGCGCTGGCAGCCGATCTGGGGCTTTTAGCCTCCAGGGATCCTTTCTGCGTTTGTGCCTCTTCTTCTGCCTTTCCAAGGACAATATTTTGCTGAAATCCAAAACCTGGTTCATCGTATCCAAGAGAGTCCGACCACATGCATTCACTGTCTCGAGAAGAGAGTCTTGAAATTCGTCCAATTGAGTAGACCCCAAGAATTCGACGGCTGCTAAAACGCCATGTAATGGGCTGCGCAGTTCATGGGATATGCTGCTTATAAAATCACCCTTTTGGCGGTCTGCGACCGCTGATTCCATACGGCTGTATTCGGTCATCACGGAAGAAGCGAAGCCAAACATTGAGCTCAGATCAACGGCCCGACTGAAAACTCGTGTCGACTGGGGGGGTCCAGGAGAAACAGCCTGCAAGCCACCGCAGATTGGTAGCATTCCACAATGGAACAAACATGACTTGACTGGCGTCGGGGAAGTAACCCTTCAGTTTGTTGGCTTCTAAGGTCCTAGATGCTTCATTATATTTCCGAGTGGCCCCGACTGATTGCTCTTCATCTGAAGTAGACAGAGTCCCGTCACGATGAAATGACCAGAGTCGACCTTTGGGATAGCGGCGAGATAATTGATTTAGAAAAGCATTGTCGAGTTTGACAGCTGGATGCGATATCTCAGAGTCCGTCCGATATGAGAACGGATCCTCTCTAGTCGACAGAGCAAGAACCGGCCCAGGGGTATTCTTATCAGCGAAAGAGGAATGGCTATGGGGGCTGCCGTCGGGCGAGCCATCGTCAGTCTCCAAGAGCATCACACCGCCGGCACCGTCAAGGTCCAAACCTTGTCGTAAGAGGTTCGCAGCCCGCTGAAAAAGCCAATCGGCGTTGCTCGACACCATCGATCCGTTGTCGCCTTGTCTCGAGCTTTGCGATGATGGAGCTGGGCTAGCCGATATGCCAGTGTCCGACTCCTCAGCCGAAAGTCGACTCGAAGATCGTAGGTCGCCATCTTTAAGAGGCGCATTATCGCTGTCAAACTCTGTTGCGTGGGGATTAGATCCCCTGGTTAGAGAGCTCGTAGATCGACTGGTGGTACGATACGGCGATGCATCCGAGCTGTAGCTTGAGCTGTTCGAGCGCGAGACGGGAACATTCTGGGCGAAACTGGAATTTCCGTCCACAAAAAGACGGAGGCCCTGCGATAATCGCAAGGCGCGCCGTCCTTCGACGGCCTGGCGACTCATCTGCAAATATTCCATGACAGTCGCTGCCACGGTCCCAAGAATATCCTTTTCGGCATCATCCAGCCCTTCACGGGGTTCAGGATCCAGTATAAACAAGCATCCCAGATTGATGTTGCTATCGCTCGTCAGAGGCGTGCCGGCATAAAAACGGGAGTGTGGCTGGTCTTGTACGAAGGGCAGTTTCCGGAAGCGCTCCTCACGTTCAAGGTCATTGACGATCAGAAAAGAATATGTTCCATCATGTTGTTCATCCGACCGCAGATTGACTGTTTCCTATTTGAAATAGATCGGGATCAGGAGAGTGTTTGGTAAATGACAACGTCCATAGGTCTAGTCTAACCTGACAAATATTCCAAGTACTTGATAGTGTGGATGTTCCAGCAAAGAGGTTGTCTCCCGTGTCACCAAATAATGTCGAGCTTCCCACGTTGGTCGTTCTCGTGGCTTCAGCTAATACGAACTGAGAGTCGCGGTTCAAGATTCTGAGAGACATAAGTCAGACCAAGGTTCTATTTGGATAAGGAATAAAATTACGTGATTATAGCACGTTGCGCATTCAGGCGCAGAGCTGCTAGCTGTGCAAGAGATGTCAAAGTCGTATTTGGGCTGTACAGAGGGCTGTCATCAATCGAGGTCGTCCCAGGAACCTCCTCTTCATCCACAACTGAATCAACAAAATTTGTAGAATTTGCTATTGAAGATATGTCGATTGAAGTTGCCGAATGTTCCACAGGGGGCCAAGTTGCATTTAGCGCTGCTGGATTTGCTGGCTGGAAGTAACGATAAACCTCGCGAGTTTGACGGTCTGCTTCATGGTCGCAGAGGGTCTGTTCTGTGAAATCATCCATTAGAAGCCCACGCGATCGTAAATCATAAAAAACGTGTTGTGGGCCGCCTTTTTAAATTTCACAAAAAAAAGACGAAGCGTGAATAATTTGGGCGGGAATGAGGGGGGGGGGATGCATTTCAACACAGCCTGGAGGTCACTGGACCTGGAGTTCCCACTGACGTAGACGGCTTTTGTTGAGACCTGAGGGCTCAGGCTCCGGTGCTGAGTCATCCCGTCACCATAACGTTACATGTATTTAGTAGATAGCCATCTAGTTCCTCTTCCAGAGCACACATCACATTCATCATTCTATCCAGTCCCTCTGTATCCAGCAGCTTTAGTCCAGACCGAATGGCCATCATGGAGAAGGGTTCTTCAAACGCAGGGGAAATCGGAGGGTACAAAGCAGAAAGTATGCGAAAGTTGTCGAAGTACTAAGCATAGAGTAAGATAACCATTGAAAGTACTAGTATCCTTCGAGTAAGATTAGACTACGGCAAAACCGTGGGCTTCCAATCTGTTATTTTGATATTTCTAGGCTTGACAAGGGCGCTTTGAATTCGTGGGAGGAAAGTCGTAGCTCTGCCGGCTAGAGCTCATCGAAAAATGAGACGGGAAGACTCCCCAAAGCCTGATATGCTGCAAATGGCGTCCGTCTTTCATGACAGTCTCGATTCGATTCGTCCTTCCACTTTGCACCATAATGACCGATCGGTCGAATTCATCTACGCCAGTCTCGAGCTCGATTTACCTTGTTGATGCATCTGGTCTTGGTTTGAAACAAGGTTGGAACCTGAAATCATTCGCTCAAGAGATAAGCTGGCTTCTCTCGACATGTTACCCGGAAACAATTTTGAAAGTTTTTGTAAGTCTTGAGAAAGAGTATTTACTTCGGAATGGAGCATATTCTGACCAGTAATAGGTTTGCAATGCGCCTTCATATTTCGCGACGGTCTGGAAGTACCTCAAGAAATGGATCGATCCCAACACCGCTGAGAAAATCGAGGTATTGGGTAGTCATGAGGTTTTTGACGCTCTGAAGGAGAATATTGATGCTGCCGATATTCCCACTTCTTTTGGAGGAGACTTTGATTTTGATCACGGATCGCTTCCAGTGCTGGACGAAAATATTCGCGATCGTCTGTCATGGAACTCACCACAAGAGTCTTTGCCTTCTGGTCCTCTTAAGTTTTCTGAATATGCGGATGGAAAACTTACGGCAATGGCCGTTGGAGGCTTGCGAGGATTGAAACGTAATGAGGTCATAGCAACGATAGACCTAGACGGAGGTGAATAATCCTAGAGAGAAAAAGAGTGCAGAAAATGTTACTGCGACCTTAAATGCAACTCCATCTCCCTAAAATGGACACCTCACCGTCCCTGGCATCTCAATAACCGTGATATGTACAATTAGTGTATATAAGATTCGACATCTTGGGTGGTGGTGATATTTTACGTCCGGCGGGCGCGCGGTGGCCCTAAACCTCGTCAGGGGCCTCCCCGGGGGTAGGCTAAACTAAGGTCTTACTTGTCTCAATACATTCAAAGCATTTTAAAGCGCAATTCGTTCGGTATGTTGGGGGAAATGTGTACAGAAGTAGCATACTACCTGTATCATGCGTGTTCAATAGTACCCATCACCCGCTCGATTCGTGAATTGAAGATCACCAATCAGAGCAACCAGTACGACGTGGAGATATTTCCATTGCTCCCGAGTTCGACTACTACAAGTAAAGTGACAACTTGAACCTTGGAATAGATATCTCGTTCACTCTTGCTCTAGCGAAATATTGCAGTGTTATATGTATCTCAGACGTCGCTTCCAAGGTTGAAGAATGAAAAAGGAGTATTTTTTGCTGGATTTTCTAGAAATAAATCGAGCGACAGTGCCTGCTTGGACCTCTGTAATTAAGAAGCTCAAATTCATCCTGCTGTTAAGGCCACCCGCCGCAGTCTCCGAGTGGTCTGAACGCTGGCACGTAGCGAGTGCCATGACCTGTCAACAAGCGGCGATCACCCCTGGGCCCTTACGCCTTATGCAGTCTGCCAATTTTCAAGCGGTCAATGCTAAGGTCTCGGGGCGCCGATAACCCTAGCGATGCCTCGTCTGGTAGGACAGACTGAATCGTGAATCACATCACGAAAAATGATCACCGTCCGAACTTGAGTTATCAAGTCTTCTAATTTCCGCCAGCGATTCGAACATGGCCACCAATTTGCTAGTATATTTGACTGTTGAGAGGATGACCACATGTAAGGCCACTTATTCGAGGATTCAAACCGCCCCCAATCGCCCCCCACGGAGTGTAATAGACGCAGAACGAAACTTCGCGGCTGAAAGTTAAATGACCTCGCTATTTCCCCGAAAAGGCCACATCCAATCTCTACACATGGCGCGCCCAACCAGCACAGCAAAGAAAAGCCCCCAATCATTTCTCCCACTCTTCCCCAAAGACACCGCGACGCTTTTCAGCCGCCCGATTATTTTCCCTTTCCGTTATAGCGCACACCCGCACACATGGTAAGCTTATGCGCAAAGCGTTAAAGGCTCCACTCGGCGCTTCTCATTGGATTTGCCGTTGGGTAAAATGGATTACTAAGAGACTTACAGTCCGCGCGTTTTACAGCGCTGGTGGAGACTTTTGCGGTTTCGGGAAAGTGCACATGGAAGTTAAATGAGGCTGAGTACAGAGTTTCAAAGGATGGAGCGTATGCTGATCGAAAGACCATGGCCACGTTGTTTTGCTTTCAAATCAGCCTTACGCGGGTCGGAATACAAAAGGGGAGCTTAAGCGCTCAACTCATCGGACCCTGGGAGCACGTCAGAGCTATCCGCAGATCATTCCATACTATTTTTCGTACCTAGTTGCAGGGTAGCATAAAGTCTACTACTTTATTATATTATACGATACGAAACAATACGACTCTCCGAGCTCCAATCTATCGAAATAAACATGTCCCGTAACGTGGATAAATTGCCCATGCCGGCAGAGGTGAAGAAAATGAAAGTTGTCGTCGCAAGTGCAAGCCGGTAAGTATCTCTTCTCTTGGGCGAATTGAGAATGCAATGCAATTTTGGGGGAAACCCAAGATGCTAATTGGGAACTTTCGAAATCAGAACCGGTACCCTCGGCCTCTACCGCGCAATGAAAATTCTCGGATACAACCCGTACCACATGTACGAATGCTGTGTCGTACAAGGAACACCGCACATGAAGACTCTACAAGATGCCGTCACTGCGCAGCACAACCGCTTCTCGGGGAAGCGGAAATTCGAGAAACCAGATTTCGATCGGTGGTTGGGAGACTATGATGTAAGTGGACACAGGTGCCTTTTCAATTTTATTCCCTCTTTCTTTCTTTCCACAAAGCACATTCAAAGGATCCAACCATAATAAAATCACTTCACTAACAAAACCGGGTCTATGAAAAGTGTATCGTCGAGGTAGCAAGCTTCATCGGCAAAGATGCCATCAAGGCGTACGCGGCCGACCCAGACGTCAAATTTATTCTGACAGAACGAAGCCCAGCGAAATGGGCGAAGTCCGTAAACAATACCGCGGGGGTAATGGTCCAAATGGCGCACTCGCTCCCCATGGGTGTTCTGAAGCACTTCAATGAATTTCTGAGCATCTTTTTCTCGCTCAATGTTACAGTTTATGGTGCTTGGTCGGGTAGTACGCTTCCCGGAGAAGCGGATAACGAGCGACTGCTGAGAGAATATTATGTGGACTAGTAAGTTGACGCGGATATTCATGACGTGAGATTGAGAAGACTTAGTGCTAACTCTAAGATTAATCAGTATCAATATGGTCAAGGAGACTGTTCCAGCCGACCAACTCTGCGTGATTCGACTCGAAGACGGACTAGATTGGTCCAAGATATGCCCCTTCCTGGGAGTTCCTGTTCCCAAAGAGGAGTATCCGGATCGCAATGAGCCGGAGAAATTCCAGGCTATGGTTCAGGAAAAGCTGCAGCCGCATGTTACTGCCGCCTTTTTGAAGCTGGGTGCCTTTGTGGTGCCAGTGCTTGGCGTTGTGGGTTGGATGGGGATGAAGTATGGACCTTTTGTTTTTAAAGCTATTTCTTCGGCATTTGCTTGATTTGTTTGTCACTGGTAAACTGAATAATTTATGTAATTCCGGTGGGGCGAAAAGTGTATCCTGGGTCTTTTTATTTCATAAAAATGTATTCTAGAGTTGTTTGCCAGAATGGTACAGTCTCAAACGTGATTAATTCCAAATTGATTGTCAGCTAATATTAATATACGAATCCTATATAATGCGTTAAATACTCCTGACGCACTGATCCTTGGCGCACTAAATCTCTCAATTTTCTTTGCGTTTTCTAACAATTTCGGTAGTAGTAAAGGTTCAAGTTACACAACGTGGTATTGGTATTATTTAACGTCCGGCGGGCGGGGGCCCTAGGGTATGTGGACGCTATCTTCAACTAAATATAGTTAAAGTGCTTATTAGTAGGAAGCAACTCAAGCAAAATTCACGGCCCCATTGGCCAGTTGGCAGAAGCGTCACCGACCTGTGAGTGATTTTCGCTGTACAAAGTGTATAAGTGCATAGGGATCGCCAGTTGGTGGCATGGTACAACGTTCTTTCCTCGAAAGAACAAATCGCACTTGCCTTCTTTTTAGTCTCTCCGAGTCACCTGCCTCAGACAACAAGAACAACTTTGACTTAAAAATGCCTCATATTTTCACTTCCATTCGATTTCGAGAGAAACTACAATCCTCCTTGTTTGCTTGACTCGCAGTCACATGCAGTGCCGCTTAAAATCTCACCTCTGGAACACCAAGACGACAGTTCCAGTGAAGCTGGTCCTGGATGGCTGGCCTGGCGACATGTGCAACACGCTCTGGTGGTGTTGCGCGACGACAGCTGGATTCTGGAAAGACTATGCGACGTCGAGAAATGCCATCCTACATCATTTTCCGGGGCCAAAGCCACACCTGCTCCGAGAAAGACACCCCCGAACCTGACTCTCAAGATTGTCGACTGGAGGACGGCACCATGTCAGCCTTACCGGGTCGAAGCACACGACCACGTGAGACTCTGTGATTTTCCCTTACTCGACAAATTTTTGATCAGGAAAGTACCCAACCTTCATATGCGAAGTATTGCCGAATAGCTAGAGTGAGAGCACGCAGGAATCTGACTTTAAAGGCCTTTAAAACCTGTGACCTGCTTCAAAATAGGCCACTGCGGAGAGTTTCCCCAAGTACGAGCAGCCCCGTTGACTATGGGGTACTAGTCATTGCGGAAGGGACTCGCTACCTAGGCCGCAAGAGAAAACCTCGGCAATACTTATAGGTTCGCTGGGCAACTCTGGGCCAGAACATGATAAATGTGTTCCTCAAAGCATACTCGGCGCGGAAGGGAAGATAGCGGAGGTCTCGCATAGATGCCAGTATTCAAGTCTACGGCCGACCATTCGTGGCACAACACCCTCATATACCCTTTCCCTGTCCAAGAAATCTTCCTCGCGGAAGGGAGGCTTATATTGACCCTCGCTCCCAAAGACGATCAAACATAAACATTCCTGTGCTAATTGGCGGTTCTCCGATCAAATTCATCAGCTTGGGCTATAAAAGTCTGTTTGTAACACAGCGGTTACTAGATTTGTTGCGCTTTGGATGCGTTCGGTTTCCATGTCTGAAAGGCTTTCGGATCGTACGATAAAGGGGAAAGACGACAATTTGTCCTCAACGTCAGCACCTGTCCACAAGGCACCGTCAAAGGGTTACCGGAGATCTCGAGCAGGGTACCGCGATAACAGATGGATCACGCTGAGAACGCTTGTCTGTTTGTCTGCCCGATGATCTTTTGGCAGCAGTGTTGTACGACTAAGCAGAGGTTGGAGGAAATGGTTCAAATCCCCGAAGACTAATTGCTTCAATTTTTTTCAATGGAGTTGAAAAAGAAGATCACACAATATCAGAAAGTTGCCGCCAATCCGAAAGGATTCGGTTCATCACTCAATATCATAAAACAACAACCGAGATGGTTTCAAAACTCGAGATCCAAGCCAACAAATTTCGACAGGAGTTCAAGTCAAGTCAGGATGCAATGAAATTCCTTTTTTTCAAAACGCTCATCCGGTTATTCAGCACAGGCCGGCCAACCAGGTTCAGGACCAAAAGGCTGCATTAGGGCAAAGTATGCCCTCAGCGATCTTCTGAAAACTAACCGCAGAACTCACCTTCGAGATCCGTTGTCGGAATATTCTCAAATTTGTGTGCAGGGCAAGATGAAAGTTTAACCCGAATTCCCGCAATCAAGGTACTGTCGAGCGACATTGATTGCTAGTACATAATACACACACCCAGTGCTTCAATTCAGGTAAATTCACTTCAAAATTCTGTATACCTTGGAACGATGGTAGATAGTGATTTTCGAATGCTGGGACAGGAACCCCCCCCCCCCTCTCTCCCGTCTCTCCTTCTTCTCAGTATGTTTCTGTGCTTCTAGTTCTCCAAATCCAGCCCGTTGATGATTATTAGTACCACATAGGGCTCCATAAGAGTTCTCACCCACCGGGACATGGTACTATTAAGCAACTGGAAATTCAATCAATCAGGAACAGCCCTCTGGTTTCAAAGCGGAGCTTCCAGCGTTTTCTCAGATTGTTTATTAATTTGAGTATTACTGGGAATGAGTGGCGTTTGCTGGCGCTTTATGTTCCTTTGCAATGCATGCAAAACGTGAATTTGAAGATGTTTGCCAAAATTATGTAGTGACGTGATTCTTTGAACTCGGTTTCTTGGTAGTAAAATGTTTCATGGGTCGGAGGGCCACCCGTGCTAGAGGGCCACCCATCCCCACCACCACTATATTTTATACAAATAAATCAACCAACGCCAATTGAATTACAAAAGCTAGGTGATATTATTAAGCAGGCACCTATTGTACTTATGCTCTTCTATATGATAATTACCACAACACTGTAGCGCCCTCTCATTAGCCAGTCTTGCTATACGTGAAGGTACCAATAGTTAGACCTGTGCAATGGGCCGCCCATGGGCCGAAATTTTGCAACCCGCCCATGGGCTGGGTACCCATGGGTATTTGGGGCATGCCTATGGGCATGCCCAAAGGTGCTTATTTAGCTAAGACATTACATAATTTTTATAATTTTTTTATATATTACTAGCTTATTACGATGATTATTTTAAAATAACTACCTTAATTATAGCTAAATACTAAATGGCTTATATATTGATTAATAATCTCTAAATATATTTTATATATATTTATATAATACTACTATTTGCCCTACTTATAGGCGGGTTATGGGCAGTTAGGGCATGTCTATAAAAATGTGGGTTTGCCAATGGGCATGCCTATGGGTTTGTACAGATCTAGCCTTCCTTGTCGGGGAACAGAGCGATATTGAACTCTAGTCATACGATGGGCTAAACTTAGGTTGAGATTGCACAAATTACGACTTTTGAATACATATAATAATGGTACCTGGTTTTGTAACCCACTTTTATCGATGCAAGTCTCTGGGGGCATGGACTAGAAGTAGGGATGATGTAATTTCGAAATTGGCCAACCCTTTTCGAAATGGTTTCAAGATATCGATTTCAATTTCAGTTTTGATCTGCAAATCCTATTCCATATTAAGTTAGATTTGCCTAATCAGACTAGTGTGAATTTCAATTTCAAAAATCTCATTTCAATTTCAGCCAATATTTGTGAGATTTCAAGTGTATGAAATTTCATTTTGCCATCCCTAACTAGAAGACTCCATGCAACCCATGCAAACCAGCGACTGTTGGCAGCTCACTCAAAGGAGCCCAGAGCAACGGTCCTACCTTGGGAATATTAGCAAATCGCCTAAAGAAATTCTTGAGTTCCTCGAGAGAACTCACAGCGAACCCTAAAACAAAAAGTGAGACACCCAACGTGGTAACTTCGCTGCCGATGCCAAACTGCTCTTCAATTTCCTCGATGCCCCCAGTATAGCCCGAGGAAACGAACGCAACAACCAGCGTGGCAATAGCAACCAAATTGTGAGTAATATTCGAAACCAAATTTACCTCCACACTCTTGTGTTTCCTTTCCTGGACTCTAGTAATACATACGACCATAGGGTGTGGAGAACAGGGCTTCCCGTCCGCTCAGCCGTACTTAAGCCACACGCCGGCAGGTTAGTAGTATGGTGGGTGACCACATGCGAATCCCTGCTGTTGTATGTTTTTGCTCACCCATTATTTTTGATTCGTTGGGTTTAGTCAGTCCTTGCCGCTTTACCCCTTCAGCCCTTCGCCTGAATGAAACTCATGAACACCCTGAACAGATGACGTGGCCCCTCGGCTAAGCCTGTTGTGCTTCATAATGTCATTGCAAACCACCACCCCCTCTTCACTCGTTTGCCATCTTTTGGGGTCCTAACCTGGTTATTGCTGACGCTGTAACGTTGTCGCAATCACCACTGTTTGGTCTGGTCTTGGACCTTCTTTCGAGGGACGCAGTGAAAACTTTATCGGCGAAGGAGGCGCAGAAGCGAATACGACAAACTAAGGGAAGTGGCATTCCTTGAACCAATGCCCTGCTAAACAATGTCGGGGCCATAGGCTAAATACAGTACATACTACGGGTGGGACATACCGTGGTGATCTTCTATCGTGGTCCTATCACGGTGGATCTACCGCTTATCACGTTTTCCTTCACCAATCATCAGGGCTTAGTAACCGCTCACCTTCGGCGCGAAAAGGACAAAGTAAAATCTTGACTGGATACCTTGCTGGCGGTACGAGAAGAAGTTGGCTGGACGGAGCTGTGGGAAATGCCTTATCATGCATTAAAGGCTTTTCGTGATTGAAAAATTTCATTCGCCTAGATTATATTTAGAAAGCTCCTGTAATCCCCTTTGCTTTGAAAAGCTTCATGTTACAGCATTCGAACTACGTCGGAAAGGACTCGGACGAAAAGTGGTGTCTTTACTTTTGGAAAAGGCCTAAAAGTTTCTCCAACATGAAAAACCAGATAGCAAAGACGCAGATCTTATATATGGTTCCGAGGCGGCTTTCGAGCGAGCATGGACTCTACATGCTCTAGTCAGTCCTGGATATCTAACAGCTGATACCGAGCCGCAGTTAGTGGACGAATCCGCAGAAGAACGCTTAATGACAAAAGGTCGAAATGGATCCGGTGCTATTGACTTTTGGCGATTGTGCGGGTTTCGTCGGATTGGAGCATCTCGCTGTTTTGCGTTATCGTTCGATCTCCAACATCAGTCTCGCGCATTCGCGGTGGCGTGTGATTTTAACCCACGAAGAAGTAATGCAGAAGATCTCGAAAATGAGGAGCTTGAAGTTTTCTATGAAGCAGATTGTTGGACTAATGTAAAGGAACTGAAAATGGAACGACTTCGTGATGTGTTGCCACTGTATCATGCATGTCTACACTGACAGATGAAGAACTCAGGGCTTTTTTCGTCACTCATGCCGATGATAAGATTAGCTGGGATCGAGTTACGAACTCTGAAGCCACGCTTCTATATCTAACAGCTTGCGAGATCAAACCCCTAAGTAAGAAATGGCTACTTGAGAATGTCCTCCACGCCAACTCCTGGAAGGCTGCTCGTGAAATCGACGGGTACACCCCGCTCGAAGCATTAAAAGAGAAGTTAGAGAAAGGGATAACACAAAAGCAATGTAGTCTTTTCAAGATACTGAATATATCGGATCGCTTTGAAGGAAACCCCGAAGCCGTAGTGTCCTATCTTTCATTACTGTTTGGACGGGATACTTTGGGGCTTAATAAAGCATGCCTTTGATACGGGTGAACATACGGCGATTACGTGGGAGGCTTTATATCCGCCCGAATGAAGAGCTCTTTAACCTTTCAGGGCGAGATTATGTATGACCTTCTGCAGGAAGGAATTGATGATGGCAGCTTTTCGATAGAAGACAACGACTACATCATTGTGCACCTTGATTCCAATGTGCGACAGAACCTCAAAAGTAATTAGTTACTACGAAGAGGCTTTGTGAATAATTTTCGAATTGCCGTGGAGTGTCTTGAGGAAAGAAGGGTTCCAAGTGCAGGTA